TTCCAGATCGACGATGAGACGGGTCTTTGGTTGAAAATGCCCGGTCTACCTATGTTTCGCAAAATATCAGCCCACGAACATACAGAATGTTACAGGAAATAAAATAAAAAGCAGTAGACAAGCTACATACTTCCTCTAGCTTGCTGCCTAGCCCGCAACTGACGCATCACGGCATCATCCAGACCATCCTCGGCATCAAACCCCATACCAGGCCCGACCAGGGTCTCCGTTGTTCGGGCCAAGGGAGCGCGTACACCGCCCCCGCCTGCGGGACCAAAACTCTCAGCACCAGCATAAAATTCTTCTTGTAAACGGCGCGCCATGGCTTCGTCATCGTCAAATGTAGAATGCCCTGCGGGTTGTGGTGGTGGCTGACCGGCAGAGGAAGCTGACTGGCGTGATGTCCGTACGGGGATATTCGTGCCTCCTCCATGTGTATCGTTATAATCGTCATTAGAGTCCAAATGGACAACGCCGTGTTCGTCTTCGTAGCCTGGTGGTGGGCGTGAGGGTCGTGATGAGGGTGGAGGAATAGGCGGAGGAGAATGAGAAGTAGGAATTTGGTGTTGTGAAGGGGTGGGTTCCTGTTGGATATCAGCGCCTCCATTCTCGAAGTACAGCTGCATAGCGGTTTCGAGGTTGCCGTCGGTCAACTGCAGGTACCGGGCGGCAACCTCTGGGGAGGAACCCGTGATCTCAGTGAACCCTGCCACCGCGTCGTCCGCCATGGCAAAGGAGGGTGTTTGTGTTGTCTTCTTTTGCTTTTTAGGGAGATGGATGTATTTAAGAAGACTTTCGGGTAGGTGTACGACAAATGAAGGAGGATATATGAGAAGTAGGAAGTTAAACTAATCAGAAAGCAGGCTGTCCTTTTGTGTCGTGGAGGAGGGGCATCAAAGGGAGGGAGGAACTAAGGAACACGGCAATAGCCGATGCAGTAAAGTTCAGTTGAAAAGGACAACAAAAAGATGAACATGCAGAATCAAGGGGATCGCCGTCTAAATGAGATGCTTCTAGAGTCTAAGATGGTTGGCAAAGAAACAGGAGGCGGATTGGGAGTTGACGTGAAGAGGTGACGGTCTGGAAATGATTATTTTGCCCGGCTCAAGGCCGCTGGAGAAGTGACGATATCTGGATGAGTCAGCATATGGAGAGGGGGGATCAGGAGTATAGTTATTCCGAACTCCAGGAGCTTAAGCGTGAAAATAGCATGGATACGGGAGGGAACAGAGACAGACTGCGTTATTATTTATGCACAGCTGACTCATCCAATTATCCATGGCTGCTAAAGTGGTTCGGATGGTCTCCCGTAGTTATAGGTTTGACTACGCGACCGACCCCGTTGGTTTGTTCATTGTGTGCTAGTAGCTAATAAGGAGTGTATGTAGTGAATAAAGAATAGTGGAGTAACTGTAATGCAAAAGAATTCATTTCTTTATTTAACATATATCATCCCTTACTTATTTAATCAGTATCATGTCTGTCCTCGAGTTAGTTATCAAGGGTTGCAAAATCGCCAGCCTGCAATATCCAGGCCAACAACTTACAAGATGGAATGGACCAAGTGATTTAACTAGCGTCAGACGCGTCGTGGCGTGGGGGTTCGCGTGCGTCTGGCAATCGTATGGCCACGCGTGTGCCTACTTAACGCGACCACTCACCCAATGTACCTTTTAAGCCCGCAGGTGGTAAGGGTACTTCATTCCTCGGCCTCAACTTCTCGCTGCTTCAACCGCCGCCAGGTATCTCCCCCCTCTCCACTTCCCTCTAAACCAGCGAGTGTTATTCTGCAATGGCTTCCTCCGTCGTGCTGGGCAAGAGACTGCGCAATGGTAAGTGCTTTCCGTGATTGATTAATTTCCTGTCAATTGCCCAATTTGCTGCAAGATTCTTACTCCTCGGGTATTACCTAGCAGATAATGCCTCTGTTGCTATATCGTTGCGCTCCAGCAAACGACAGGCCCAAGTCCTTCCTCAACCTCAAATTCACGAGGAGGAAGAGTCCAATGACGAGAATGACGAGCTCTCTATACCGCACTCAACCGGCTGCAGATCTAGACAGCGGCGTCGAGGCGTCACGACCACCACCAAACGAAGAACCCTCCCCGTTCGTAATGTGCGCTCGAAACATACCGTTCCTGACAAAACCATCGACGAGTCTATACCCCCTTCAAATACCGCTATTATACCGGGTAAGTTCTGATCTGGGTCCTCTCAATCTGATTTTCCCTCCGAGTTCGCCCACAGAGAAAGAAAAATGCTAACACAGTCCTTAAGATGAAAATACGCGCCCCTATGAATTCACCACTCCCAAGACACCATCCCGCTACAGAGATGCGCTCTCTCATAATAACGATAATACCAAAATTAAACCCGTCCCCGTTACTCCCAGACACCGCGTGCAAGTTTTCTCTTCGGGAAGACCCTTGACCCCGCGAACTCCACGCATGATCGCTTCCCCAGCGCCTGTTCAGACTGTCTACACACCGGCCCGTCAACTGTTTGCAAGGAGTGCTACCCCAGGTCGACTCGTGGGCCGGGACAGTGAGCGACAAGAATTGTCCTCATTCATTCAAAATGCGGTGCAATCGCGTCAGGGTGGTTGTATGTATGTCAGCGGACCGCCTGGAACGGGCAAGTCGGCCATGGTGGACGAAGTATGTCAGGATCTCAGTGTGGATGTGGATCTGAAGAAGGAAACTATTAAGATCGCCCGTATCAACTGTGCGAGCATGACAAACTCGAAAGATATTTACGCGAAGCTTGCAGATCAGTTGTGTGAGGATCCGCAGCTGTTCAAGCAGAGTCGGACTGAATTGCTGGCTGGAATGTTCGTGCAGAAGAAACGCACGAGTTCTTCTGCTACGCCCTCCGCGCTCTACCTCGTGGCGCTCGATGAGATCGACCACCTTCTTACCACTGACGTCGAAACCCTCTATACTCTCTTCGAATGGTCCCTACAGCCCCACTCGCGCCTTGTGTTAATCGGTATCGCCAACGCTCTCGATCTGACTGACAGATTCCTACCCCGTCTAAAATCCAAGAACATGAAACCACTGCTCTTGCCATTCTTACCCTACACCGCGTCGCAGATCGCCGGCATCATTTCTACCCGACTCCGCTCCCTGCTACCCACTTCTAATAACGCTAAAACTACTGCCACAATTGTTCCGGAAGATTTCACTCCCTTCCTCCACCCCGCTGCAATCCAACTCTGCGCGCGAAAAGTGGCATCTCAAACAGGTGACCTGCGCAAGGCGTTCGACATCGTCCGCCGCACCATCGACCTTGTCGAGCAGCAAACGCGGCAGACACAGAAGCCTAGCTCTTCCTACCAGTCGCCTTCGAAAATACCCTTAGTTGAGAATGCGAATCTAGCCTCCTCCTTGATTTCACCACCCGATACGCCATCATCATCATCTTCTTCTTCTTCTTCGATGACTCCAGCTACAGCTACAGTGTATACACCCGTCACAGCACCCAGGGCAACAGTCGCACACGTCGCGCGTGTCACGGCCAGCGCTTTTGGTCAGGGAACTGTGCAGCGGCTGCAAGGGTTGAATTTACAGCAAAAGGCGGCGCTTTGCGTGCTTATTGCGCTTGGTCGGAGGAAGGTCGATAACAGAGACAGCGGTATACTAGATACGCCATCGTTATCTAAATCCCCACGATCAACGAAATCTTCTGTAGCTGCAGGAGTTGTTGCGGCACCAACAGTCAACGAGTTATTCGTCACGTACTCGGGGCTGTGTCGCCGGGATAAGATTCTGCAACCCCTCGCAGCAACCGAGTTTAGGGATGTTATTGGCAGTCTGGAAACGTTGGGGTTGGTTGGGGAGGCGCAGGCACAGGGCCGAGGACGCGGGTCTACATCCGCTACTGGTGGTGTTGGTGGTGGACCTGCTGGGTTACGGACACCCTCGAAACCGAAGACACCTACACGGATGGCTGGTCGCGTGACTGGGGCTGGAGCGGATGAGAGAATGCTTGTTTGCTTTGTGGGTGAGGGGGAGGTCGAGAAGCTTATTTGTGGGGAGGGAGAGGGCATTCTTAGGGGGTTGTTCCGGGCGGAGGTCTAGAGCTATTAGTGTATTTGGCGGTGCATTGATATGTGTTTGTTTGCATTCATTTGCTTTGATATGATAGCTATGGCATTTGCATGGCGTTTTTGCGATGTATGGGTATACTTGTATTCTTTTCCTGGATGCAGATTCGATCCGGTTTGTATGACTGGGCTGGAGTTGTGTTTTTATATTGTTTTATTTTTCCCAATTGTTATTGTTATTTCTATAATTACCGAGTTGGAGTTCTGTTGGTGGTATTATTTCTGGTTTACCACTGGGCGTTCGTTTGTATGAATAAAATATAGTATGGGTATTGATGATAAGTTAATAGTCATAGGCACAATATAGAGTACACTCCGTATATTTTACATTCTACTCTCTTTCCCAGCATGCTGAAGTTTTGTATGCGGTCTTGAGCAATATTCTTATCACATTCAACTTCACAGTCAGTTATATAGATATAAATATATGACCCCCCAAACCACAACCCCCAAGGGACTCAGCTGAGGAACAAACAATAGGGTGTTTGGCGCAAGAGAATAATAGAGACAGACGTCCACAATGGATATAGATGGATATATGTATGTAGCAAGACTCCAGGCGAACATCATACTGATGGGGGTGAAATGAGAAGAAAAACAAAAGAAAAAGGGAACACAAAGAAACAGTCCGTAGGTAGTAGGAAGGAGGGGTATAGGGATATGACATATAGTTATAGTTATATCGAGTGCATAAGTTACGCCCGCCCGCTCCCTCTCCGCTGGTGAAAATCAAATTCATGAAGGAAGGATATGAAATCCATGGCATCGCATCGTATCTTCATTTTGGCCATTATCTAGGTTACGTTGCACTGCACCGCACCGCACCGCATTAACCATGGCCTGACCTAGTTGGTGGTTATGTATGGGTGGGCTTACATCCCTCGTCACTCTGCGCTCAATCATGTCCACACCGGAACATTTTTACAAGTCCGCGTTTGGGATATCTGTCCGCCGTGATATCTTCATATACAAATTTTTTCTGCACGGACACGCCATAGTTGAACGTATCCATCGGATGCGCGGGGTTGAGGATGGCGAAGTCGAAGCGGCGGAGTAGCTTGATATATCAACTCTTGTCAGCAATATCCAAAAAATAATAAAAGATTACAAGATAAATCCCACACACACCTCAACAAGCACCTTGTTAATCTCCGGCAGCGAGATTGGCTTTCCCAAACACCCCCATTTCCCCTGCCCAAACACCAGCTCCACCGTCCTCTCCATCCGATTCACCCTCTCCGCCTCCCTTTCCCCATTACTCTCATCCTGAGAGAATTCCCTCCTCTCCAGCCACCGGCCAGGCGAAAACACCTCCGCGTCCCCACCAAACACTTCTTTATCCCTCAACACGGCCCTCGCACTCCATCCCACATTCGTACCCCCCCGGCACCTTCACACCGCACACCATGGCCTCTCGCGGACAGATGCGCGGCATGATGCCTGTGATCGGGGGCCAGAAACGGAAGCACTCCTTAATGCATGCTTGCAGGTACGGAAGGGCACGGGCTTCGGCGTCAGTGACTGGGGAGGAGATGCGGGATTGGGAGATGGCTCTGTCGATTTCGGAGGCGAGGGTTGTGTAGGTTTTGGGGGAGGTTGTGAGGAGGAGGAGGGCGATGCGGAGGGTTGTGGCGGTTGTGTCGGAGCCGGCGACGCTGGAGTGGGCGTGTTAACTATGTATATATGTGGATGGCTTCTATCTTGTTCAATTTTTTCTTGATTACTCCGCTCATGCACTTTGCGGTGACGGAATATCTTGCATGCATCGTTTATATAGACAGACAGAGGGAGGAAGATGCTTACATCTGGACCAGGGATTCTGCTTCCGCATCCCTCTGGCTATTTAAGGCCGTGGGCAACAAACGAGCCCAGCATGTCCGGCTTGGTGATTTTATTTTGGTCCATATCGCTCTGCGACGACTTCTTTGGCGATGCTGCAAGATTTGTTTTTTTCATGTTAACTCACTCATTCATCAAAAGTAATAGGTCAGAGGAACAGACCCCATAACCCTCCCTAAATAAGCCAACAACATCCCGTATGTGACGGTAGAAATGCCTTGAACAGGCGCGACTGCAACACATTCACCAACCCGGGCAGCAGAGCAATCATCTGCATGAGCGGCAGCGACTCCTCTGTCGTTTTGATGTAATCAAAGAGGTCGCCATGCTTGTCCAGGAACCCGAACGTACGCCCCGAACGCAATGGTCGAAATCACGTCAAGGGTCAGATACTGGACTTTGCGCGCAATATCGACTGGCCGCAGCTCCGTGTCAGTGCACAGGTACTTGCTCTCGATGAGCCGGATGAATTTGGCGACTTGCGTGTCTACTAGGTAGGGCATTGTTCAGCAATCTAAAAAATTTTGAGGTCCAAAGTGGCAGGGCGGAGGTATGTAAATCTTACGCCCGGAGCCAGCTTGGATCTCAGAACAGTGTGCAGCGTGTTATCACGCATGGACAGCGTGCAGTCTCTCGGGAGGATCGAGCTGGAAGAAGCCCTTGTACCAGGGCGAGCGATCCCATTCAGACCGAACTCCCCACATCCGTGGCACTTCGGCGGGATTGCCGCAGATAATATAATTAGGCGGCGACTCGCACAAGCGGCCCTGCGATCGCATGTCAGCTTGTTGAGAGAACTTGTTGCAATAATGGCAGCATAAATTTGGCTCGGGACAAATACAGATGGATAAAAAAGACGACCCTCTAGGAGACCGATGCGAGCCTCAAAATTGAGTGAGGCGCCCACTGTTGGCTAAATATAATATCCCAAAAACCCACGGGCACTCATTTCATAAATAAATAAATTAAAAATTAAAAATTAAAAAAAAAATAGCTATTGTTGTTATTGCGTGTATGTTTGAATCGATAGGATGGCCTTGGATGCTGGACATATAAATATTTAATGCGCCAGGCGCCTCTGCTGGTATTTAAGTTATTTAAATAGGTTAAAATATCTTGCTTGGCTTCTAAATAAAAGTCAACAGAGCGATATTTATTTATTTATAATACTGGATTCTGTGGTGGTAAGTATGATATATTTAACTACCCTACCGTGCGATAGAGAAGAATAATAATAATCGTGATTCCAAGTCCCTACTAATCTCCACGCTCATTCAGAATGACGACCTATTTACTTAACTACTATAAATATCTGTTGCATCATTGACATCAAGCGTCCGTGGCGTTGTAGTCGAGAATGGACGGACATACCATTCCATTCCCTCAGTAACTAGTGGGAGTAAATAAGTTGTTCCCTTTTTGCCTTGTTAACTAAATATGTCACCATATTCATGTAGAGACTGAGAGACTAGACAGGGGGAATATGGCACAAAGGTTTCATCGTATTTATAGCTAGTAAAACCATCTTGAATAGCTTCCTACCTTGAGTAATCACCGTATCTAAATATGCAGCAGGATACGCACGGTGCATAGCCGACAAACTCACGTTCACTCAGGTTCAATCGGGGACTTGAAATGTTGTTGGTTCGGTTTATAATATATACCGTACTTTGGACAAATCTCTCACTCATACAGTACACGGACAAGTAGAACAAAAGATATATGTACTGAGGAACTAGAAACTCCTAAATTTTTGACGAAAAGGCAGTTGGGTATAGATTCGACGGGGGGGGGGACTCTTGGCATTCATACAAAGGAAATAAAGATCTTGAATGACTTAACACTGAAAGCGGGAAGGGGCTTATTGAGGGAAAATTTCGAACATGATTGTGATGGTAAAACGGCAGAACGAAAATCAAAGAAGCTCGCAAGGACAAAAAAGGAGAGGGACAACTCAGAGCAAAAACAGATAATGACAAAAGGGGAAAAGAGAGTACACACACATTCCTTGTGAAAAGGAAATCATCATCGGGATCCACTTCGAAACGAAGTACGTGGTATTAGCAGAGCAAACTCGAGTTTAATATCACCCATCAACCACTAAGAAATAAGAGCAAGAAGAACAGAAACCCGCACTCGCTCGCCGGCACTCATGCATCCATCCACTCATGGCCAGACTTCTCCCCCAAATTTATCCCTCCGATGGACGCACCGTCAAAAAGAAGGATAGAAACCCCCTGGTCATTTCAATTCGTTAACTACCCCCTATACAACACACACATACCCACACTCACGCACCGCCCCACACGCTCAATGTCTCAAAACGTTAATCATCCATCGGCGCATCCTGCAATGTCACACCAGCTGGTTTCGGAGCCTCGGATGCATCCTTGTCGCTCTCTGCCATGCTATCACGCTTTAGACCTGTGATGCGGCTATACCGCCCGCTCGAACGGGATAAGGAATTGCTCTTCTCCATGTGATTGCTGTTGTTGGCGGTGTTGGCTGGCGCGATGGGGTCGGATAAGGTGGTGGTCGAGCTAATGCTGTCAGTCGCAGTGTGGTCTCCGCCAACCATGCTGCCGCTGCCGTTGGTGGTTATGGAGTCGCGGATTGTCGCGGATGTGAATGCGGGTTTGCCGGTACGGTCTGTGGCAGGTGACGAGCCGGTTGAGTCAGGTACCTCGAGGCTATGACGGGGTGCTCGACCCGTGGTAGATGGTGGAGGGCTGCTGACGTTGATGGGGAAGCGGGTTGATTCGGTTCCACTGATTGATTTATCGCGTCGGTGTCGGTTTGTGGGGGCGGGACTGTTGGCACGACTGCGGTCAACGATGGCTTTTTGGCGGGCCTCCATGTTTGCGCGCCGGTTGCTTTCGTCAGTGCTGATGGCGCGGGGTCTGGGCCCTGGCGCTCCTAGGTTGCCCAAAGTGCTTGATTGGCGCTTCAGTTCGCCGAAAATTTCATCCTTGTGGTCGAACAGGTCGCGGAGGAGGCGGTAGCTGTGTCGCTCATCCATGGTGAGGTTATTCTCAAGCCGTGGGCGGAGAATACAAGGGGCCAGATTCTGCGCTAAGGCTGTAACGTAAGCTTCGTCCGCGGATGTGAGGTCGATAAGGCGAGTAAAGTGAGTAATGATAGCGTCAAGAGTGGCAATGTTGTTTAGGCGGAGCTGTCCAAGTGTGCTTTGAAGAACCTTGACGCGGCCTTCTGCCGGAGCCTCACTCGCGGTGGTATAAACTGTCCTCACAATCTCGTAAACCTGGGACGAGACAAGAGAATCTACAGAATTGATTAGTTAATAAAAAGCCAGCGGGATAGGAAGAGTAGAAGAGGGTACCTGGAAGTTCCAGCAGATATAATTTCAAAACATTGGCCACCACAGGTATCTCGTATTTTTCTAAAATTTCATGGGTAAATGGCTTTCCATTATTCAGAGCATTGCGTAAATGATGGGCGACGACGAGAGGAACTTCATGCAGCCAAATAGCACGGCGCGCCTCATCTCCTTCGAGATCAGGATAGTCTGTCCCAAGGTTAGTTGCTGGAAAAAATTGTAATAATAGGTCTCATGATCTTACGATTGTCAAGGTAGGTCAAAATAGTGGTAATAAGGATAGGAACACGCTTCCTATCCGCCCGAGCCCTGGCTTCTAAATCTACACCGAAAGTTTGTTCTGCGTTGAAATTAAGTTAGGCTTGCCTTCATTCTTTTCGACCTCAACGTAAAAGATGGCCATACCGTCAACATTTCCATAATAATTTTCATATGGCTGAACACGAGGCACAAATGCGCCAGTACGATAGTTTTCCAGCAAATATCTCAGGTCTCCATTGGGCTGGATAGTCTCCTGATATAGCATCATCTTGTCGACAGTGCTGCGCAGAGAAGGAACAACATTGCTAATTGCCCCTGAGAAATCTAACACAACAGCTTTGATAGCCTTCAAGCGATCTAGTTCACACCGTTCCATGAACTGGAGATAGTCCACCATTTCTTCCTCGAGATGGCATCGTAGGCGGTCGAGTTTTTTCACTGCGGATTTGTATCGCTCGTCGGCCTCCCGGGCTTCGCGCCGGAGTTTCTCCGCAGGAGTCTCATTAGGGTTTGAGTTACTAAGTGGGTTCCATTGAGAGAATAAATCAGCAACGGCAGCCGCGGTAGGAGAGTCCGCAACTTCGTCCCCGCCAGACCCCATCGACATTACCCGAAGCAGTTGCTTCTTTTTCTCGGGAATCCCTGAAATTTGGAAAGCTTTCGAACGCCACTGGTAATTCATTCGCGAGCTGTTGGCAAAGGTACTGCCCACGTTTCCAACAAGGCGCAAGAGACCAGCGTCCACCAGGTCCTGCCCGATTCTTTCTGCATAGCTGACAGTCGAAGCACCCATGTCCCTCTGAATAAACTCCACAATGTCTGCACCAGTAGATGTATTTTGATAGGTACCTAAAATTGGAAACTTGACTTCTCCAAGTTTAATAGATTCCAACATATGGGTCAACAATTTCTTTAGCTCCTCTGGTGGAAAAATTTTATCCCCCAGTTCCACTGGTTCAATGTCTTCTGAAGAATCAGGAAGTACGATGGTTGGTGGGGGAGGCGCTGCTTTGGGGCTGCTGGCGTTCTCCTTCTCGGGGCTTTGGAAAGCCAATTTGTTCTCCTCTTCCAAGTCCTCGACAAGGCGACATTTGTTAAAGTATTGGGTCCTTAATTTCTTCACGGTCTCTGCCTGCTTATAGTGCTCCTTAATCCTGATCTGGAGCTCTTCTTGGCTATTGAGGATTCGAAGTTCATGCTGGTCGGCCCAGCGACCAAACGGATTGACAACGAGTTCACGGATACTGTCTGCGATTTTCTGGTGGTTTTTTGTTGCTTCTATCATTTCGCTGCGGATTCCCTCGTAGGCCTATATTCGCAGTGGAAAAGATTTGCGTCAGCAAAGGAGCTAAACAGAACTGGTTTTCCAGCAAACTGACCTTTCGGACGCTGGCACCATCGTCTCTTGCAAAACCATTCGTCATGCGATCGATTGCGGGGGCTATTTCGCCAAGCTTTAAACTGTATTGTTCCTCTGCAGCAGCTCGCATGTTGGCAATAGTAAGGATTTGTTGATTTTCCACTATGCCCTGCTGCAACTTGGATATCAGGACACCCAGCCCGCTGGCATAGTCGGGTGTCCAGAACGAATCTGCAAACCCTCGCATGATGAAAATTGAAATTATCTCGTCGACGGAGAAAGTGAATAGAAAGGATAGGTGGCCGTTTCAAATGCGTACTGTGCGAACTCTGGGAGATTCTATATCGTCGTACAAGCCCGCTGCTTGGGTCAGAAACGCTGAATTGATCCGACACAGGCAGATAAGGTTGGCAAATGTATCAATAGGACGGAATCTAACTGCAGAGCCTAACGCAGGCCACGATTGCGAAAGTGGTGAAGACCTAGCCGGCCCAGAAGTGGAGGACTCGGGTGTGTAGCACTGTGAAACAGGCAATCAAGCGAGTGGGAGGTGGCCGTCGTGATGAGAGTAGCTACGTAGGAGTGAGGATGATGAAAGCGATGATGATCAACGACTGTGAGGCAGCAAAGAAGTGAGAGAGAGACAGAAAGAAAACGAGAAAGGGAGAAATGAAGCAAAAGAACTACCAGGGCTGAGGTTGATCTGTCAGTTCAGCCCATACGAGGTTGCGTGGTTTGGCGGCTTATCGAAGCCAGCGTAAGGAGCGAGAGAACGGCGCAGCGGCGGGCTTGGCACCTGGTAACCGCTGACTCAGCCGCGGCTCAGGGCGTCAATTACGGCAGCCGGCACGAGCCAGTACGGCCATCTTGGCGGTGCGTAATTTACAGTCTATTTTTAGCCATAATTACCAGGTACCTGAAACTCTACCATTCAAGCCGGGTGCGGCTGAGTTACCCCACTAGCTCAGCCGCAATCTAAGAGCTTTCTATTCGGTTGTCCATAAAGACCGTCGGTGCAATACTGGAGTAACTTCCTACCAGGAATTTATTTCAAGCCGTAATACTCCGTAATTAATGCCGGCTTGATTTCTGACGCTGCTTCACTTCGATCAGAAAGATAATTCGGGTTAACGTGTGTGCGCTCATACGGAGTATACGCTGTATGGCAACATAGATGTCGCATATAAGCACCGGTTTTCGTCTTGGTTTACACATCCCCCATAGGACGTGACCCTGCCAATAATAACATAGACAAAGGCCGTTCCTCCCGCATATGTCATATGTCACGAAAGTTCAAAAGAAAGCGGGATTGAAACACAGAAAGCCGTGTTTAATTCTCACATTCTCTTCCTTGATTTCCTTGCATCACATCGGGATTTATTTGCAATCAAATGCAGCTTGGGCTGCATAGCATTGGCCGGTACGCGGGGCCACCGTCAATCCAATACCGTACTATATGTTGGGGGTCCGGGTTGTACTTACTCCAGCTTCATGTATCGCCTCCTTCCCCCAAGATCGGCTATATTGGTTGCTTTCTTAGAACACAATGAATGGAATACCTTCATTTTATATACATAAAATGCTTGCAGGGTGGAATGAGATGCTTGGGGTTGCAGATTCATAATGAAAAACTCGCTTATATGTGCGCAATTTCCCCCATATTATTAGAAGATGCCTTGGTGCGCAAGGATGAGCGGATTTCCTGGGCCAAGCATCTCTTCTAACGCATACTCAACCTTCTAGTTAGATACAAAGAGTTGGACCCTTTACTGCGTTGCTTTACGGCGCCAAGTTACAGAGAACATAAACCGCCGTCTGTGCTAGTCTCCGATCCATTTACTCCGTGAAGGAATCTTTACCCAGCTTGTGTCTAAGTTCCTATACCATTCTTTGGGAGGTAATCTCCGTTAAGTAATCGACTGCTTTAACATCCGGGCCTCTCATAGACCAGTTGGCGAACCGAATTGAGGTTTTCACGCAACATCTGGACCCTGTCGGCTGTTTGCGCTTAGTGCATCGGGAACGTTCATTCCTTTCAAACGTTCGTCTATATCTTCAGCATCAAACGCGCCATCATGGTGGCTGGGTATCAATGCCTTTACACAATCAGTACATCGCGGGCATCCGTTTCATGGGGACTTATTACGGTCATTGGCTTAGGCTCCCTGTTGGATGGTCTTCTCTATTGACAATATCTCTCGGGATAAGGAAGACGGTTCTACTGGGCAATCTTTCTGCTCATCGGAAACAAAGGGATCTAGAGAACAAGGGTACGACAGGTGCATTAGCGACGCCATATCAAACAATTTGGTTCCCAGTAGTAGACATAACTGGCTACTCAGAACTACATTTAGGGATTGGTTTCAAAGCCGGAGATTGGAAGATTCTTCCTTCGAGAATCATGCTGCCGGAACTGTATCCTCGTTCGCCTGGGATCCAACCACGGCCAACCACCTTGGAGAATTGGAGAACGGGTTAACACCTTCCCATGTTTCCTCGAAATAACTTCCTTTTTGTCCCATCAATTCACTCCGCTCCCAAATCAGAAACTTCGATCATGCATAAACTCTCCGATTTTTAAAGGGAAGACTTCTCGCTGCTTGCTCGGAAAAACATCTGGGCCAGCAACCACCCCTGGCGCCCTTACGGGGAATTACTGAATGTCAATCCTTTGGGAAGACAATTCCAAGTATCCTTCCTATAGCCGTGGCGCTAGTATATCCTTCATCTTAGCCATGGCAACAGCTGCGTGCCGCCGCATTATTTCTCACAAAGGAGAATAATTCCCTCCGGCCGTGTCAAAGTGGTATGGTAATCTGCGGCCCGAGCATATCGAATGTGCCTGTATGAACTTCCGCATTCCTCGACCCCTACCCGAGGAACCTGATAGTTCGCACATTCCTCCCACGCGCATCTTTTACACATGAGCTAATCCCTATCAAGGATATCCGGAGGACATTCGCTGGTAATGGTGAGAAAGAAAGTTTATCTCACACAGGGAGGTTGTCATTTGCCCCAGCACTGCACCTCCATAGATTTTGGGCTCTCAGATCATCACCCAGGCATGCATAATATATTATAATATTGAATCGGCAATCGATCAACGCCCACTAGCCGGATTGAAGTTGTGGCCAGTAATCCCGACAGATTGTCGTCATTCACGTGCGGCCGTTGCTGCTGCCAACGACACTTTGCGGGTGTTGAAGGGTCGATCGGATGTTGGTATGTATTTGGAACAATCAGTTCTTTTAGCGGCCGGATTTCTCGTTGGCTTTCTATATCGTCTAGTTTTGGTAGGATAATTTATATAGTCACCCATGACCGCGTGCGATGCATGAGAGCGTTTTGACTAAAAATGTGTGCCAAATACAAAATTACAGGGTGCTCATTCACTTCCTTAAATGGGTGGATGAGCCCCTAGACAGACGCTGTCCATGAACTGTAATATTAAATCAATCTCTCATGCAATAGATAGAAATTTTCCTTTCCTTTTCTTTTGCTTTAGCTCTGGATCTGTGCAAAATAGCGTCTGCTGGTGAGAATCCAGAGCGAAAAAGTGGTTATCCCCTCTGCTAGTAAGGACGCCCCTCTAATAAGTCTACCCGCTTCCTCCAGCAGGGAGAATCATTGCTGATGATTGAAAACTATATTATCCATACTCCTCATCCCACGCGAAGTCATTAACGATGTCGACACGAAATAATGGTGACAACACAGCGACGGACATCTTTACAAGAGTCTTCGAATGGAGAGGTTAGACGAGACGCATTTACAAGGATACCATAACATCTGGTCAAATCCATTGGCAGCCAAGTAATTGGAGGTGTGGTAGAAATCTTGATATTGACCAATTCATCCGCAAATCCTCTGTCCTGCCTCTCCCCGCTTGTTTGTAGTTAAGCTGCCACGGATGTACAGTTACCTACCTGCTCGTGTAGGTATGTATTCGCGTACAGTACTGGTTGTAGCCCTACCTCTGGCATATTTTGTAATGTACATGTATATGCTATCCTGGGTTGCTGGGATTACAGGTACGCGTGCGTACAAATGCGTATCTACTACGTCAACCCCTCGGGCAATAAAGCCCCAAATATAAAAGCAAGAAAAAGGAAAATAACAGGAAAGTAGAACAAAAACAAGAGCAATGCCCACAATTGCAACACACAAACAAGAAATGAATCCTAGTCAATATGACTAACACCATTTGTGTCCCCGTGTCTTGGTGTTCTCCTATCTTCCCCGCGGCGTCAGCAAGACCTCGAAGATAGCAATTCATGTCTGGCGTCTTACGACAGAATAACCCTCGCGGAGAAACGTTCGCTGTCTACCTCCTCCCTTCCTCGGAGCCTCTCGAATCTCCCCGCGACTCTGTTTCACCGTCTGCTCTTGTAGCGGACAAGATGTCAAGGACCACAACCATTCCTGCTACAACAATCACGGCTACTACAGATGGGCAGCTGTCTGAGCCTGGAGATTTCAGTATCAATCCCAGTGAAGACGCATCCACTGAGAATCCACCAATGACCATGATTGGTGTCGTGGGCCGCATGGCTCCGACCTAGTTGCGGAGCTGGGTTACATCTTTCACCCCTCTGCATGAGGAAGGATATGCAACTGAAGCAGTCTCCGCGTTCGTGGATAGGTTCTAGGGAGAGCAGGTTGATCCGGAAAACTTTGCTTCTACTAATGTGTTGGAGAAATGTGGGTTTGCTCTCGTTGCGGAGGCGAATGAGGATGGCGAGAGACTACTAATTTTTAGGATTTTTAGGACTAGGATATGACTAGGGAGCATATAGTTTCGGTGTTGTATGGCCGTTGTGGAATCCCTAATTGAGTATATGTTTGAGAAAAACCCATGCTATTCTAGTATATTACTCTGTTATATAATATAATATTTGCGTATGAGCTGCCTCATAGATATTTCTTAGGATTTACAAACCCATTTTTCTAGATAGAACAGCATTTTGCAGGGAAAGGTAAATGAGAAAATGACAAGGAATAGGGTAAGGAATAGGAAACATGCGAGGAGAGAAAAAATACAGTAAGTGAACTTAACTCGTCGGCAACCCCGAGACTTTGAATAAGGCCCTCCTTTTCCCCGGATAGCTCTTTTTCCTCAACGTACAAAATGGACAATATTCCAAAATTTTCGCCAAATAGATGTTACCGTTGAGTTTTTAACCTGTAGATCAACCCCCGGAAGTTGAGGAGGAAAAGGTGGGGAAAAATCAGCACATTTGTCTTTGCCTCTTGGGTTGCAAATCTTCCTCAACATCTAGTTCACGAACCTGTCGTTTCTTTGCCCCGTTTACGCCATGGCCGTTGCTTACAGGAACTTCCTTTGGAGGAATGTGAGTGGCTGGCTTCGGGATTCCATCTCTGGCTCCTGGGCTGAACACTTCTCTCTTGGGCATGTAGTAGCTCTGGCCTAACATGTGCAACTTTCGTCGATCGGTCTTGTTTGATTTCGTGCGCGGTATTCGATCGACGAGCAGGAAGAGCGTGGGGATTTGAATTTCTGGTAAAGTAGCACCAATCGCCTTCTTGATCAATTCGACTTTCGAATATGCGCTGTGGTTTTCGTTAATTGTTCGGAAGGTAATTGGTTCGTTGGGCCAAGCCTTGCTGCTCAGGTTCATTGGATTGTCTGCAAGGTAAAGAAAGGCGGTAAGAATGGGACTTTCGACGCCGTCTATGGCGCCAAGTAAGTCGACAACAATGGAGTCTTCGGGTGATAGGCATTTCCTCGCAGTGTATTCAACCTCGATAGCGTCGACCCTGCCGCCATCAATCTTCAAAAGAGTGTCTTTTCGTCCGACGTAGGTTAGGGTACCGTCGTGGTTGTATTTTACAAGATCGCCAGACCTATATAGTCTGGCTGAGGATGCTCTCTCGGGATGCAGCTCATGGAGCCATTTCGGCGTACACTGTAAGAATCCGGCTTCGGATTTTCTGGATATCTGGTCAAGATACCCGCGAGCAAGATGAGGGCCTTCCATTATCATTTCTCCGACAGCGCCGACAGGCATGAGGCGGTCCGGACACGAGGGGGAGACAACCCAAGCGGCGCCTGTCCCAGTGCGCCCGACGTTGGTTCCGCTACCAGGGCTCATGTCATCGTTGTACGTGCAAAACGTAGCGACTTCGCCCATGCCATACTGATTAACAAGTTTTACCTTCCCAGCCCATTTCGACAATAGGTCGTTCGAAGGCGGTTCACCGCCGATGCAGAGTATTTTGAGGCCTGGAACATCCTCCGGACCCAATTGAATGGCAACTGTCGGTGTAAGAAACGATATATTTGCACCCAAGTCGTTCATATGTCTTGTCAAAACATGAATGGCCTTCTGCGGATGTGGAACGCAGCAACATCCGCCAACGGAAAGTGGTACGAGGTAGTCATTGTTGCTGATGTCGAAAGCATAGTCGTCAAACTGATACATTCTAGTTCCTGCATTGAGCCCCAAGATCCTCGAATAATCTCGGACGGCCGTGGCATAGGTCCGGTGCTCCTGGATAATCCCTTTCGGTTCCCCAGTGCTACCCGAAGTGAACAAAATCAAGCCTGTAGGTTACATCAACATACTAAATCTTGGCAATTTCAAGGGAGCCACTTACACGCATTGTTTGGTCGTACAGTCGTACAAGCTGGTTCCACCTGTTTGGGAAGACTCAGGATTCCCTCCTTGGATAGCTCGACGATGTTTGGAACTAGGCCTTGGAATTGGCTAGAGAATTCGGCAACAGTGAGCATGATTTTAGCATTAGCGCGCTGGATGACGGAATTTAAATACGCTGGAGGGTCAGCTGCATCTATCGAGATATATGCACCACCAGCTCGTAGGATTGCAAGCCTCGACACAATGGCCCAAGTTGATTTCTTGAAACAGCTAAGGACGAAAACTTCGGGTCCCACGCCTAGATCAACAAGATGATGGGAAAGTCTCGATGTCAGATCATCCAACTCTCCGTAAGTCAAATCACCATCCCATGAAACCACGGCCATAGCGTCAGGATTCGTGCGGCTATGCTCAAGAACCATGTCATGGAGGCAACGTTCGTTGGACTCAGAAACATGACTAGTGAGTTGGGTAATGTGTTGTCGATCGTGCGCTGAGCACATGTTGACTTCCTCCACTGTTATATCCGGTGACATACGTATAGATGTTAAGGCATGGTTGAACGTATGTAGGACACTTAACGCAAGTGGTTCGGAGATAGTCTGCTTCGAAAAAGCGAGTTGGGCAAACAATTGGCCGTCTTTTGCATGGGTAATGTCAAGGAAAACGTCGGCCTAGCAAACAATCAGCAACGAGAAAAATGATTGATAAGCTTGCCTCTGAAAAGGAAGTCAAGGCAGAAACATTGACTGAAACAAACCTCGGAATTCTTTTCCGAATTTAGAGTTGAAGCATTTTGATAGCGAAAGGCAGTTGCGAATAAGTCTGGTGAAATCTCAGCATCGGAACTCCCGTTTTGTTTCGATGAAGCGTATTCAACAGCTCCGCGTTGTAGCGTGGCTAGTTTGCGCAGAACTTGTGGCAAACTGTCATCTGGTTCAATACTTAATAATCGATTGCCGAATTGCGATCCCTGCCCAGTTGAGAGTGCCTTCAAACATGAGACGCCCGAATTTGGATCCCAGTCGAACAAGAGGGAATTCGCGGAGGTGAAACAGCAGGTGGTGAGAGCCCAAGCCAGCTGGAGGATTTTAAAAGTGTTGTCAGCACCGGCATGGTTTCCATGACGGACGGCTCCGTTTGTGTTCGTCGTCAAAATATGTTCGAGGGTTTCCGGGCCTTCAGATAGAACCAGCTCGAGATGGCCGATTTCCGAAGGCACATGGTTAGCAGGCTCGTGTAGCACGGACTTTGAAGAGGATGTATTGCTTTGGTAAGGAGCAAAGGTATCGTTTTCAAGGATCGATGGGGCCATTGTGCAAAAATGAATAGTCAATCTATTTCCACGACAAGATCTAGCTAGCTTCCAGTTGATAAAGTGAGATTTCTTCCAAGTAAGAGACAGAATTATAAAAGAGAAGAAAGGTTTGAGGAGCAGCTTGTCCTTAGGCATGAACTATATATCCCCTGCACAACTTCGTATAGCGTCTTTAAATAGCCCCTCCGCAATGAACTTGTCGCAAAATTACTGCTCCCGAAATTTCTTCCCGAAGAGCTACCGTAGCACACGACGCCTTTTCATCATCATACGGAGCAAGCTTGGCTGGTGAGCAAATGAACCCCAAAATGCGAACTCGACACAAAACCTCTCAAAAGAGCTGGTCTTCAGGGTGCTACGAGCTGATCAGTGATGAGCTTCCCTACCGATGCCGGGGGTGGGGAAGCATGTTTTGGGATGTGGCTGCCCGCAGAAAAAAGATGAGGTTCTCCTGTGAATACATTGGTTAGTCGGTTCAGGGCGTGTTGTCAGTTACAAGCATCTCCAGCCAGTAAGACCAGCGGGTGGGAGGCTTCGCTGGATGCATTCTGCATGAACAGGTCGCCCAAATATTGAGGATTGGAAACATGGCTGGTCGTTCGATGGTCGTGAATGGCTGGCTGGATCATCTAAATTTCCGGGGGACGATGATTTAGGGTTGAAACTAACCCAATCAGATCTAGTTGATCCAATCTCTTTGCCCACTCTGATCCACCGAACCATTAAACTATCAATCTTAATCTGTACTAGTGCCGGCTCGAATCTCCACCCAAGGCGACCCACCTACACATTCTTAAACGCTAACCTAGAGTAAGTTTAGCGCGCACTTAACACAAACCTTCAGCCGACGACTCGAGCCTTGATACCTGGGCAAAGTCCATCAACTGAGCAACAACAACAACAACGACGTCCTTGAAGACAACTACAGAGAGAGAGGCTAGATCTCTCCTTGGATGCATGTCTCTTAACCATCAGGCTCAGAGGTTCTTGCCACTTAAACGAATGTGACACAGCTGTCCTCCCACGCACTAACTGCGTCATCCCACTCGGATTCGACATGTTTGTTTGAGGAATCAATGAAATCGAGATTCATGCGGGCTCAGCCGCCACAAGCCATTGATCATCAATTGATTTTCAAGACTAGTCATGGTTCTGAAGAAGTACTTTCTGCCGCACCTGGTCCTGTACAGACCCCGCCGTACTTCCTTGTAACTAAGTAACTAATCCTAGGTTCTCAGTGGTTAGTCCTCATCCTCCCCCGTGGCTGAGATCTATGCGGTTGCAAGCCTCCAATCCCACTTCGAGAGCCATCCTTTTTACTTTTTTTAACGAATCTTGCTAGTGAGTGAGAGGAGCTTCCGGAATGGAGGCCCTACAGACTATCGCCTTTAGCAATTTATTTGAACCTTTGGAAGAGCTTCTTCAAGAATAAATTACTGTCTCACGGACGCGGCGTTTAATACTATTAGCTACAACTCAGTACTCAGTATTAGTACTCAATGGGTAATCGGAACTAAAATCGCAACAAATTGGACCATAAAGCATTTAATCAAAAGCATAACTAAGAAAACCAGAAACGAGAAACCACATTCCCACGCTTGAGTGTTCCAAATTTTGAACCTAATGTACTACCCCATTCATTTTGGGTTCTCCATGTCCATTTGTGAGAGGTCGATCTGCGCCTTTTGTCCGTGTTTGGTCGAGAAGCTTCGCTCCCCACTTTTCTGCGCAAGCTGGAGCAATTGGACCCCAAAATTTTGGCACCAATTCTGCAGCTTGCATAATCACCTCGAAGCTGTGGAAGCCTCGTTGTGCATGCGTCTTGGGGACATCTGCATCCGGACGCTCGAGTGACCTGCTAAATACCTCCATCGACAATGGGCCTTCGTAACCCGCTGCGAGGATAGCCGCTGTAATTAATTCAACGGGCATGTATGCTCCCCGCTCCTCTTCCATGGGGAACAGTCGAAAATTCCTCGACCAAGGCAGCAGCTCGTGTGCATCGGGGTTTTCGTATCGAGTCAGGTTCAAGGTTGCTGTGTCCACCAGCTCTGCATCCGCGATTTGGAGGAGAAATATCTTCTCCGCAGGCACTGAAGCCACCATAGATGCAATGGATGAGCAGAGAACATCAAGCGATTCTTCCAGCGTAGGATAGATGCGTCCATGGCCCTCCTTGTTGTACGGGTCGGCGAACTCGACTGCGAGCCAATTAAAGGAATCGACGATTAGGCCAACATTTGGTCGGTTTACCGCACGGACTACCTCCCATGTGGATGACCAAGTGTTTCGTAGTGCCCATGAAAGCCCCTCATACCCAATCTTGATCATTGGGCCTCCATCCCGTTTAGAGAAGGCTGCTGCCATATCTCCAATCTCTCGCAGGTCGTTTGCCACGGTTTTCAGCTCAATTGTGCTATTTTCGGCTCCGATATTCGAGACTAGAAATAGCATATCTGTATCGAATGCTCGCAGGAAGGGGAACCGATTCACCACTGAAGCCAAATTCGCCATGCGCTTTTTGGGATCCGTGAACCCTTCAATCTGGCGGACCGGCTGAGCACAGACAATTGACATGTTCAGGTCTTTTACCAAGTTGCCTAGCTTTTTGGCAATTGCTAACTTTTCAGCTGTCGGCTCCCAGATTTTGTCGTCGTCGACAGCACCGAGGTGCGATCTCAAGTATTGTGCCCAATCATTCTCCATCAAGTCAATAGATTGAAACCCAGCATCGGCCGCCTGGCGGAGCCTGTCAGGTAAGCTATGATATTTCCAGCTCCCGAGCGAAACTGTTGCAATTGCAGCACGATTTTTCGACAGACGCGGACCGATCGCCATTTTCGAGGATTGTGGATACTGGACGAAGATAAGGGGAAATTAAATCGCCTAGACAATTTCTTGACTTTCTTTTTGAAATGAGGCACAAACAACTTCATCGGGCAGGTCCGAAAGATTGTCGTTGTTGGGGAATTAGATGTGGGAGGGGTTGCAAAATGAAGCACCCTGTAAACAGTATGGAGATCTCTCTGTACACACCAAAGGTGAACTTCACAGCCTCTTTTATAAGTTAATATTCTTTCCTTCTCAGCTCCGTAGTTTACAGAGGTTCAACATCGGAGGGTTAGGGAGGGTGTTTGTATTATATAACCATAGCATGGCGCTCCTGAAAAGCATCACCTTGACGTATGCATGCCAGGTGGAAGAACACAAAAGTGTTTCTAAGCAACCCTATCACAACGATCCAGGAGGGCGAATCACTCGATCAATAATAATCCAAATTCTTGACATTCGTCCTCTGGCCTCAAGAGCCAACAGAAGAAGAAAAAACAAAACAAAACAAAACAGTCCAAACTGAAACTCTCCATTGCTAATAGGAGAGGTACTGTGCGATCAAGAAGTCAGTGTACTAGGGGCTCGGCACCAAGCATCCCCTCATATGCCCCTCTTTTTCCTTAATTTCTCAATCACCCAACATTCACTCTATGAGTCAAAATATGTCTTTCAAATCAAGAATATTGTATAAAGAGCATTCTTCAGCTATTATCATTATCAAACCCTTGACGTGCCTGAGCTGGGGATTTACAGAATCCCGGCCCCTCCTCTTGTGCATATGCTCCATCCACGCCCCTGGCCAGGTTACCCCAGCTCGCCACTGCCGTCTAGATACGAAAGTGGCTTGTATAGGTTTTGTACGGTGTAGTCAGCTCATAATTTTTCTTTTCCTTTCTCCCTTGTGCAGAGCTGAGCAAGGTTGGGCCTAAGTCCACCAATGAACATAACCCCAAACCCTTCCTTTGGTTTCATTTTCTCCAATTCCACTGGAATTGCACGAGCTGTGGTCCCCCGCTCCAGCTACAACTCCTACCAGGAGAGTTCCACTTTGTTTCTCCTATTTCATCTAAGGCATTGCCGACTTAAATCCCACAGCAGGGTTACAACGGCTAAGAGCTTCAATTATTTGAAATGAATAGGTCGTTGTCGCTGTGGTGCTAAATAAACTGCGAGACTGAAATCAACTTCCAGACCCTAGGATGAAATAAGCAGTTTTTCCCTGCCCGGATCTACGCAGCGTAGTTATATTAGGGAAACTCAACTTACTCTGTTGAAGTAGTTAACTAACGTTAGCTCCCACCGTCGCCTGTTTGTCGTACGCAAGTTAACCTCCATTGTTTTCCAAGATCCACCGCCGACTATCTCCCGCCTGGCCCTAAATTTGGGATTTCAAATTCCCTGCAGAAACTATTTGAGAAAATGCCTGCCCAAATATGGGAGTAGGATTATTTTTGAGAATCCTCACAAGGACAGTTTGAGAGCTTCTCTTAAATTCCCCACTTTTCAGAAATGGATACTCCGTGCAATGTTATGTATGTGGTACATGTGCAGTACTTAATTGAAAAATGGGAGGGCTCTCACAAAATCCCGAAAAAGTACTGCACGGCGAAAACATTAAGAGTACAAAGCAAAGTACCTAGGAAGCTCTGAGCATGATTTAGTGGTATTCCTGCATTCATTCAGAGCGGCTATTAGACAGTGTCATTCTGAAAGAATCTACTGCCAAAGCCCTACTCTTCCTGCAACACTCATTCCTTCGTCAAAAACAATACACGGCCCAGAACACTGCATATAGGACACAGAACACAGAACAGGTAGCAGTGGCCCTCTCCATTCTCTTTGTGAAGTTGAAGTAGAGAACATATTCCAACATCCATCTACATTCCGACACTTCCTCGGAGGAGCTCCTGAATTCTCCACTTATCACGCTGCTATCTAGACCGCTCTGTGTACGCCCTCACATACATGATACAACGTCCACTTGATGCGGATAATGAAGTTAACATTGCACCACTCATCGTCGATGCCACAGTGCACTTTCGGCCCCATCTAGACGAGTCTCACATGAAATCTGTCTGTTTTGTTATCCTAAACACTGTCCAGCAGACCATTGCTAGAGCCAAAAAGTCGAAAATATATATAGATATATTGTCAACGGCCGCTGGGGGAGCGGAGTGTGTGCTCCCACACTTCATATCTGAATCTTTATCGGCAACATAAGACATCCCACGGAATCTCGTCCAATCCTTGGTCTAGCAGACCGTCAACATTTCAACGGATATAAACACTAGCTTCTCTCTAATTCTCTGTTCCGCGTGAACGCGTGCCCCACGACATCTATCAGGCGGACAGTAAATGTCTCCGTTTTCGGAAGATGTCCAGCTACTCGTGCTTCATCCTTCGGTCTCACTACGAGGGGAAAGCTAGTTCATACATCCCGTAATTTTGAGTTTGTATCCGAGGGTGACTCTGCTTCCCTTATTTGGCGCCACACCACCCAATGCCGAGGTGGCCCCTCTCTCCCGCAAACCCGAACAGATCAGCAAGTTCGGCCCGAGTTAAGTCGATGCTAATTAGACTCTCTTGGGACGGCTAAGACCTATATCCCGTCGGGGTGTTAGCCGATGAAGGTTAATGTACACATGTGTACATGTACATGTACATGAACTGTACGTGTAGATACAAATGGCCTTTCGCAGGATAACTAGCAACTTTCCTCAATTCCTTCTAAATCGTCCGAACTACGTTTATCGCAATGGTCTCCTGCCAACAACCAAAACGAAACTCCTGCTAACATTTTTCAACCGATCCATTCGGGACCCCAAGTGCTAATCCAGACATCATATTCACTGTTAGAATATGTAATTAAACCCAAAAAGGCAAAAAGCAAAACCATGGAAGGGAGGAGGGGCCTTTCAAACGATTGATAATTTCAGTATTCACACATGTCAACCTATAATTATTAGACCCACCCGGCATTCCCTTCTATCCATATACGCCCACGAGCCCTAGGGAACTAGCATAGTAGAAAATACAAACGAAGAACATTTTTTGGTGTTAAAACCATTGAACCTAAAAAATAAATATAAAATAAAAATAAAATAAAAAAGTATCATGCCCTTAAATTCAGACTGATTTCCCGGGTCCCATTTAACTATGGCTTCCCCTTGGCATATGGAGATCTTTCGCTGGTTTTCTCTTAACGAAGATGTATATACGCTTGGAATAGTAGGGACAGAAACGAGATTTATTAGCCCTGCTCCTTTGAACTAACATCAGCCGATGATTTTATGGGTAGCAGATAGGGGACCCGTAAGAGAGGGAATAAATTGCGCACCAGGACCTTTCAGCAAAAAGTCTTGTAGACCTTTTTCCACATTGGCCACTGGGCACGTTCAGCACGTTCTTCTGCGATCAAGTGTGAGATATCGAGGTCACGACGCCCAGTGTCGAGATCCATGTCTCTGGCGTGTATAATTTTAGTACGATACCAGAACTTGTATGGAAAGTAGAATGAAATAATAATCGGCACCGCCACGTAGAGTTCAAACACGTTTGCGACTCGCTCTTTCACAGTCATCTCGGCGAAACCAACGGGGGCAATTGCAACCCACAATTGTGCCGTGAGGACAAGGCAATTGAGTATCAGGCCAATCCACGATCCGACTACACCTGCTTGAGAACGGTAGGGTAGATCATCAAGACTGCGTCCCTGGAGCTTCCAACCACGACGAAACCGGATATGGGCGAAACAGACAGACGCCCAGGTAAAGATGGAGGACAGTGCGGAAATCGCAAGCATCCAAGAGAATATCGCACCTTGTTCTTTCTCTGCAACAGCAAGGTAGCCAAGCAGTCCGACAACGGAAGAAATGCCGATTGCAACGAGTGGGCGGCCCCGACGATCGATATAGGTCAGAACATGAGGAGCCTGGCCTTGCTCAGCTAGGGCTGCAAGAGTACGTGAAGAGCCGTATATTGAAGAGTTCCCAACTGAAAGTACGGCAATCATGATAACGACATTCATGACTGAATCGAGCCCTTGGATCCCAGCGTTTCTTATTGCTATCACGAAAGGAGAAGCGTTGGCGTCGTAGCTGGATTCACCAGTTACCAATCGCACATCATCGTATGGGACAAGCAGTCCGACTATGGCCAAAGAAACGACATAAAATAGGGTTATCCGCCAAAAGACTTGCTTAACGGCTGTCGGTATTGTTCTTCGGGGGTTGGCAGTTTCTGCAGCAGCCAGACCCACCATTTCTGTGCCGGCGAAGGCGAAGGCAGCAGTAACAAAGACGCTACAAAGTCCCTTAAATCCGTTATGAAATGCCCCCGGGTTGCGCCAATATCTGCCGCCGATATATTCCCCGTTTGGTCCGCCACCAACGTTTAGAATGACTCCCAAAATACTATAATAGGGGAAAATTAAATGTCAGCGAACACAAAATAGCCGTGGCAGAAGGTAGAGTGGGTACGTACATAAACCCGATGATCGCAATAACTTTGATAAGGGAGAACACAAATTCAGCTTCACCATACCCACGAACGCCAAACAAGTTTATGGATACAATCAGCAAGTAAAATATGGTGACCCAGACCGCAGGCGAAACTGGCGCGTTCCAGTAGCTGACGGTTATAGCAGCAGCCACAATCTCCAGGGGCAGAACTATAGTCCATTGTAAACCATAGTTCCAGCCCATGGCAAATCCCCAGGCCGGATCGATAAAGCGGGTCGAAAATGCAGAGAAAGATCCGGCAACCGGGAAAAGCACGGCCATTTCACCTAATGCATGAACAGTTGAATATAACATAACCCCAACAAGGATGAACGCGATCAAGACGGAAGCAGCTCCGCCATCTGCAAGAGCCTTTCCGGACCCAACGAACAATCCAGTACCTGGTATGATACGTGACATTATGTTAGTCGATAATATTAATGGAATTTAGAACTTTTGACGTAAAATTAATAGCGAGGGCTACTAGCTCACCAATAGATCCTCCGATTGCTATCATCTGCAAATGTCGGCCTCTCAGTTTACGTTGCAAAGGGGACGATGCAGTGTTGGAAACGGCCGCTTCCAAGTTAAATTGCTTGTCCTGAGTGGTCAGAGCCTCTTTTTTGGTAATGTGGGCATTAGGATCGCGGCGGAAGCCGTCCACGAAGCGAGCAAAGATGTTATCATGGAATCCCTCGGATGTCCCGTCGCTACCATCGACTGGGTTCGCATTGGGAGGTGTAGGCTTTGGTTCCTCATTCGACGTGTCCGCCATTATTGCTCTTCCAATTTTCACGTTCTTTGTGAGAAAATTGTATGAGTATTAAAAGCTGAAATAAAGACGAGAAGCCTAGGAGTTGCGGTGCCCCTTATTTCTCTCCGCTGTTTCCCTGTATAATCTTATCTTTCATTAGCCCTGCTCTAGGCGTGAGAAGTGAAAGCAATCAGGAGATATGGGCATGGGCGGATTCATGAACATAGGGAGCTGCCATTGGTCGAGAGGAGAATAAAAGAGTCTTGAGCAATATACGAGAAGAGAATAAACAGAATGAGAAGCTCAAGAGTAGCGTAATATGTCAGATATTGCAAAAATAATCCTATCCCTTGAAATGAAATCCATTATAACGCCCGTGGAAAATGTCCAACCCAAGGCCGTAAGGGCGGCTGCTTGCGCACACCGTACAAAAGAGAAGGGAGGATATGGGTTGTCATATAAATGTAGGATAGGGAAACTACTTGGAATGGCCTCCTTGGCTAGCAAAGGGGGAAGAATAGAAATTGACACAGTCAACAGGACACTTAGGACTCACCAGTTTAGAAGGTTGGACAACTAGTGGGTTAGGGAATAGAATAAGTGTTACTAGTCACGAATACCTTGTCTAGTGATGGTTTATGGAGCTAGAAAGAGAGAGGGAGAGGAGTGGAGAACAAATCCAACGTCCGTCCTCCAAGAGAAGAGGAGGAGAGGAGAGAAGATGGACCAAAATGGAGCCTAGAGCAAGGAAGGGTGGAAGAGCAGGCAAGATGCAAGTGGAATGTAGTGGGACGAGGGCGGGAAAGGGAACAGACAAGCCTAATGGGTATGCCAGTACTTTCCGCGGTCATCCCTTCTATTGTTTGACTCCGGTTATTTCTGGGTCACCACTTGAAAACGCAAATGTCGTCATGAGGCGGATATTCTGCGGAAGCCCTCAAGATTGAGTTCGCGGGGGAATCTTGCCATCCTTCATTCTCATTCTCTATGTAGCCTGCCATTTTTAATTCTCGGATTTAGCGCTGATGTGTAGATCGGTGTCAGATTCGCGTTGGCTTTAGCTGTTACATGCAGCCTGCAGTACACCGCGCGGTAGGATCTTGGAACGCCATCACGGCAATCGATCAGCTTCACAGACTATCGCTGAGCATCAGCAGAGTTGAGATGACATGAAGTTTCTTCTATTATCATGAGCTTAATAGATTAAACGCAGTGAGGGTATATCTTTTGGTTGGCAATGGAATGATTGTCGCCGGTCTGCAGCTCAGCCTAAATACATCCGAGATATGCTCTGTTGGCCGCGGCCGCAATATCTCTGTGTTTCGAACGGCAGGTACACGAATAAGCATTCTATGCAAACCCCTCCAAGGCTGCCGTCACACAGGAACCTTTGAATAAAAACCAATAAACGAAAAGGTTGGCGGCTCTGCTGTTCTGCGCGACATGGAGGTCAAGTAAAACCCGGATAAGATCAAATAAAAATAAAGCTTAGAAATATGCTAGAAATGCCCTAAACGGTTGTCCGAAGTATGATTAGGCAAAGAGGCTTCAAGCTATGTTTTAAAGTTAAAACACCTGCCATGGAACCGGTGGCTATCGCCGGACAGTAGAGATTAATTAAGGTTCAGAGCCGCGATCCTGGGGGAGCCTAAAGGCTAAAGATACCTAGGTACCGTTCTGGATTCTTTTGACTGCCCAGGTACAGAAGATCAACATCTAGCCATCAATGGATTGGCACTGGCTGAGGGTAAGCCTTTGCCTTTGTATGCGGGCCTTATGTGTGACTGCTCTTCGCACAGCCCATGCACTGTGCCCAGAGACGGGCAGCAGAAGCATAGTAGGCAGCCTGTTCGTTTTTTCCTGCATCTATTTACCGATTTCTCAAGCGGCTAAACCTGCTGAGCAACATGAGATCTGCCGTAACACATTATCCCCATTCACGAAATAGTACAGAATCAGGAGAAGGGGATGAGGAACTCACATCACCAGCCAACGAGACCCCAGATACTAATTTACAGGGATATCCCTCAGAATCCGATTGAGTGTAAAATATAATGCTCAGGATCACAACACTAGGTATGACCAACATATTGCCAAGCATTTGATCATGTGACCATTACTGAGTCACATGACTGATTTTGCCGTCTCACTCACCATTTCGTCATCTCAACTCAACCGAGCCGTCGCCGCAAGCCCGAGAAATCAGCGACGGCGATATCTCCAGCTGTTACATTAGTAGATTGCCCTCCACAATCGCGGCGATAACAGGGCAGGGTAGGGCAGGGTAGGGCAGGGTAAGGCATGGCGCTACACACGAACGACAGAACCTCTGTTCATGATGCCTGGATGACATTTAGCCCCGCCATTTCATACATATAAAAATGTCCCCCTCTCCATTTTTCTGATCTTCGCACATTCTCGCTTCAACTTCCAATTTCTACCGCTGCTAGCCTGCCTTTTGCTGCGTATACCACTGTTTCTCTGCTTTATATATCACTCTCGACAGATATTTCTTATCATTGAAGAAAAAATCAGAAACTCATTCCGCCCATCTCCTGACCCCGCACCGCCATCACTCCCACTCTCTCGTTCTCTCTATCAAACAGCCATGGCCACTTTGCAGGCTTCCATTAGCCGTTCCAACTTCAATCTTGCGTCCTCATACAAACCCGCTCTAGTTACAGTCATACAGCCGTCCCGCCCGGCCCAACGGCGCTTCACAAACCGTTTCTCTGCATCAAGCTTCACAACCGCTTCACCCGCCCACAAGGAGGCCCAGCAAAACTCCAAAAATGAAGGCCCGTCCGATCTGGACCCTAGATCCACCGAAAGCACAAACAGTGGTACACACGCAGAAGTCGCTAGCCAGCAGACTGCTTTCATCCCATCTGACACTGCTCCTGAGTCCGAGCTCGAGGAAGTCCGTCAGCAATCGGCTGAGGACAATGGCGCCGGCGCCAATGCGAGTAGCAAGGAGAACAAGCGCGCTAAGAACCCAAGCCCGGCTAATCGGGATGTGTCAATTTCGAAGGACGAATGTGGTAAAGAGCCTAGTAGTAGGCGCGCCTCGCCAACGAAGGGGAAAGAAGTATAAATGTATTTTTGACTCGTTTCTCTTTTCCACTGCCACTTTCCCCATGTCCCGACACGCTAATACCTGGAGTTTCGTCATGCATTCTATGATTTCATTGGAGGATCCCCTGGAGTTCTGCAGCGGAGCATTGCATATTTACATTCGCTAGCGTGCATGTTTCATTGATTTTTCTCTCGGTTGCCTTTCATGCGATCTTTTTGTTGCATTTTTTCCGCCTTTTTCCTGTGTGAATTTTACTTGCATTTTTCTATGCGACAGAGGTACTCCATACAGGATTTTTTGAAAAATCTCTCATGCTGTCTTAAGCACGGCTGTTTACTCCCAATAGATCAGTTAAATACACAAGTGTTGTTTATTTGTATTCTAAATTCCACCGATGAATTATTTCATTATAATAGTTGAGGCGCTTAACTGGGGACTGAGATACGTTCCCGAGATGACTATCCATATCAATCGTTAACGCCTCCATTGACTTTATATATCCCTGAAGAAATCTGAGTGGAGACTATACCCAATCTCTCTTTCTCGGCTTAGATCGAGGAAGAGATTTGAATGTCTTCGAACCTGGAAACTTTGGAATATAGCAACAACGGAAATGGAGTAGGAAAAGAAAATATTAACTTAGAGAGGAACTAAGGGTCAGTACCAATTCGGTGCTGGTCCCTGCCCCAGCAGTTGGGTTTGAATTATTTATGATAGGGATGTCTTCATGCCTATTATCATTTAACATAGCCTTTTTATCCTTCATCCCTTAAAACGCCAGCAGACTCAAGTAGGTAAGATGGTTAGAAGAGAAAAAGAAGAAACAGCAAGTAAAATCCTCATGTACCCGCCCCGTGGATTCAATATCGTCTCGATCAGGGATTAGAAGAGGGGCATACGGCAACAACACGAGGATTCAGTTGGATACCGAGTTTCGTGGTTCAGTGTGATGCATACATTTGCGCGTGCTACACGCGGTTTAATAGCCATGAGAATAGCACGCAATCGCGGAACCTTCCAGGCTTAAAATCGGCGATTTCCGCTATGAGCCGGCAGCAACGGGGCCTTCCCCACCAGGGATCAACTATTTCTTTCAATCAGTTGCCATCTTGTTTGGGAGAAGGAAGGGGGGGGTGGGGGGAGAACGAAGTCAAACGGGCCTACAAGGCAATAAAAATCACCTTTGAAAGGAACATCCAAGGTAGGAGGGTATACGCAGTACTTACCATGCAGATATTATTCCCGTTCAAGAGTATCTTTGGTAGTTTGGTCTGAGCCCCTGTGTAGTCACTATAGAGACATCAGAATGTGGACTTTGGCAGTGCGCAGCGCGGGCCAATGCCATTCTTGAATACATCAAGGGAAAAGTTTTTCGTGATGCGTTAAATCTCAACATACAATTCAGTGACATCTTCAAGAACCATATCTGGGTTAGATGTTAGCCAAATAGCCATCAATTAAGATGAATCAGTGGCGCTTAACGTACTGACATAGTCATCGAAACCGAGTAGGGTGCCGGCAAACTCTGGATTGGATGTTAGTTTATAGTGGAACGAAAAGGGTGGAATATCTGAGAGACAAAGTTGCCCACCTTTATCGCCTTTCATGACAACCCAGATTTTCGAACCAACACATTTATCAATCAACTCTAGAGCATACAGTTGTTAGCACGCCAATGCTATACAGTCAATGGACGCATTTAACTGAGCGGTTCCAGCTCTTACCCAGAGGGAGAAGCTGGGAAGCCATGGTGAAGAGTATCGTTTCGGTGTTGAGAAGTAATTGAAACACTCCCAAACTCCGTTCGAAGCACAGATATAGTTGGAGAAATGAAGGCAAGAGTATTTCAGCATAGAAATCAAGCCACTTGCATTTACTATACTCCTAATTGGCGGCGCTTCTCTGCGGGATCTGGCCTGTTGATGATGGTGGTGCATTACGGATCTAACCGCTTTGAGAATAGTTAACTTAACTAGCTATGTCAACTCCGACAGCCCGATGCGGCGAACGGAAATTTCTCTTCAGACAAAGGAGAAGCATCCATCGCCAACATTAGTTCCAGTTCATTGGACCTGTTCTGTATCGTGTTCTGATGGTGGAGGGAGTATCGTTAATGGCTGCCCTTGACTAATCAGCCAGATTACATTCGTTCATATCTATCATGCCTCCTCGTTCGTTTGGATAATGTTGTCTCCAGCCCTGCTACCACATGGGCTAAGACAATGCTCTTCGGCAACATGCTCAGGCTGGCGTATTCCGTCAGAAGGGAATCGCAAGTCCAAAAATGATCATTTGCGGTTTCGTTTGGGCAGCGGATGGTGAGAGCCTTGTTCTCACCTGTTCTACAGTTCAACCATGCTAATATATTCTCTGCGATTTCTAGGCCAAGCCGCAATTATTGCCATTCCTCCAACGTGACCTACGTCATATCAAGAAATCGGAAACTTCGAACACTCTCCCCATGGCGTGGAGCACGACTGATGTATACGCCATGGCGAGCTTTCTCTGACACATCTATAAACTATGCTGCCCGGAAGCCCCCTCCAAGTCCCAAGCCCCTCGCGCCCAAGCCCCTCGCACCGAAACCCCTCGCGCCCAAGCCATTGTTCGGGGCGCAAACTCCGCAAACACCGGCCGTTGTCAAGCTGAAAGGTCGGGTACGTGTACCGCAGGATCCGCGTGCTATATTGGCGCAAACCCTTGCTCCCTTAATCACCGTTCCCGAGCCACAAGATGAACCGCCCTTGGAACAGCGCATCCTCCAGCATCGCAAAACCCATGCTATAAATCCAGAGCTTCTGGGCTCGACAATTGGCACGCTATGGGATCAGGTAGAATTCGAAGAAGACTACAGCGAGCGCCTACAATTGTTGGATGCGCAGATCGCTGCTGCAGCTGCAGCGCAGGATTCTCGACCACTTGAAATCCCTACCTTCATACCATCACCGCCGGATCTTGAAATCGATATAGCTACTTCCGTAGATATGCCGAAGCTCGAGCCTATTGAAGTGCGGGAGGTCGAACTAGTCGATCGCCGACGGCACATCAAGCGATTGGTAAAGCGTGTACGGGCGCTCGAGAGTCGCTTTGTCGATATAAGATATAATATTATCATGCATGACATAGCAGTGACGAGTTTCTTAGACACGGTGTTGAAAAGGTTATATCATGACGATATTTACGTTGTCAGGCTGCGAGAGTTGACTCGCTTTTGGAATTCAATCGAAGTGTCAGTCCGCAAACGGCGGCGAGCTTATCTTGATGCTCAAAGCTGGCTTCGTACGGTCCATTCTAGGACCTTGAAGGCTATTTCTTCAGATCTTAAATATCTGGGAAAATCACCTTGGTTACCTCAAAGAGAACAATTGATGTTTCTCAGGTATGATGGTATATTGGGCATGGATAAAAGACTCATCGCCATTGCAGGCCACAACTGGCGAAAGTATTTGAGCATCGGATTATACCTCTCGGAACATGCTTCTGTCCCCAATGCATGGGATTTTCATGTCTTTTCCATTACAACAAACGATGCTTTTGGTCAATACCGCAACGCGATAAACGACACAATCGAAGAAGCCAATAAGACAATCCGGGAATTTTCGTCCAGTTCCCGGAACCACAATCAATCTAGGCACAAACGATGGCTAGTCGATATGTTGAAGAGAAGCCGGGAGGTTCAAGCTTTAGCGAAGAGTGATTTAAATCTAGATCCCGCCTCAGTTTTTGCTTACACCCTCCAGCTTTTTTACGCTACACAACCGGCGTCCAGTATTTACTGGAAACAGTGGGAGATCATTGCCCCTTTCATTACCTCGCGGAACCGCATCCATTCAATCAGGAGCGCCGTGACCCAGCTTGTCAGCGTCATAGACATTGCTACACAGGGAGGCTATAGAATGCCTACCGTACTCCAACCGTCTCTGCAGAGATGGCACAGTCAGTTCTCTCTTTTATGGCTCGACGAATTCATCGTGGAACTTGAAGCATTTATTGAAATCAGTTTCCTTCGTCTTCAGAGCGAAGAAAGACTTGCCCAACTTGATTTACACAGCAGTGAATGTCCCACTGTTGTTCTTCCAAATCAAACCGATATAGAGAAAATTCGTCACTGGGTATCGGAACTGTCGAAAATCACTTTTCCCGGTAACGAATCTGGTACAGGAGACGCTGAGGTGGATGAATATCAGAGAACTGAGTGGCTTCGTATCCAGCATGCAGTGTGGAATAGATTCAGATCGAGATCCAACACGCGCACTGTATCTCGATCACGGCCATTGAGTGTGATCAAAGCAAAAACACTGAGACGTTCTGGCATTCGCTCAAAGCCCGTAGTGTACTCATCCCCGCCATCAAAACGGACAAAACTCAAACCCAAACGTTCTAGCACTAGTCCAGAGCCACCGATATCAAAGCTAGCTAAAAGAAAACCCAGATCCGGCATCAAGTCAAAGGCAAAGACGGCAAGTGCAGATCAACCCTTGGTGACCGAGCCAACGCCATCACTGGTCAGAATTACCCCACCCAAGAAGCAACCTTCACGATGGCTAGGTGGACTTTTTAACCGGGTCCCATTTTCCAAGTATCATACCAAAGCTGCAGGCGGCTTTTCCGCTTCTTCCACACATGCATCCAACGGCCAATCCGAAACGTCACCATCTAAATATTGGAGCTATAATCTGAACAAAACACCAGATGGTAAAGACATCACTGTTCACTATTGTACTTCCCTCCAGACGTCGGAACGGGTAGCACAGCATTTTCTGTCCGAAACTGTTGTCGGCCTCGACCTTGAATGGAAGGCTCAAGCCTCTACTCGTGATGCGCTTGTAGATAATGTTTCTATGATACAGCTTGCAAGCAAGGAGCGAATCGCCGTATTCCACCTAGCTCTATTTAATCCAGCTAATTCACCGCAGCACCTCGTCTCTCCCACTCTCAAAAGACTACTGGAATCTCCCGAGCTTGTCAAGGTGGGCGTCGCCATTAGGGCTGACTGTACGCGGCTATATAAATTTTTGGGCCTACAGACAACCAACCTCTGCGAAGTTAGCCGCTTGCACAAAGTGGTAAAGCACCATCTCAATCCGAAACTCATCAATAAGAGATTGGTGAATCTCGCTGAGCAAGTTGAAGAGCATTTAGGCTTGCCACTTGATAAGGACCCCGAAATTAGGTGCGGCGGATGGTCGAAAAAGCTCAATTACCGCCAGGTGCAATGTAAGTTTGATTTGGCTATTACCTGATAAATTTCTTTTATTTATGCCCCCCGCCCCCCCCTTCTCCATTGGTCATCTAGTTCTAACCCACCCACTTAGACGTTGCAACGGATCCTTACGCCGCCTTGCAGCTCTTCCATGTACTCGAAGCTAAAAGACTCAAGCTGGAGCCAGTCCCACCCAGCCCGGACCATCCAGTGATCCCTTATGCTGTCACAGGATCTATTAAGAAAATTCACTCGAAGAACAATTTCAGGGAGAATGAAAAGATCCCCGCTTTGTGCGACAGTGAAATCAAGACATCAATCGCGGAAACTCAGCAGTAGCAAAGGACCGACCTTCAAAGACAAATCATGGGTCTCTTTCTGTCTTACTGGTATGAGTCTAACGATAGGATTAGATCTGCCTTCCTGGTTACAGCCGTCGCCGCCGCCCCTGTTCTCAATGTTCCTACCATCTTTTCAAAGGTCAATGTTTCAGGCAGGTGTGACGGGAAACAACAGGCTGAGCCTCATTGTACTATCCGAACGACCCATTTATCTACACTATTCGAAAACCATCGATATAAAACATTAAAACCACAATCTTGATAAAGTGCGTCCATATTTTTCTATATACGAAGCGTTCGTATGGAAAACTGGAATGACATCAGCATACACTCCCCAAAACCTTCCAATACCTTATTTTAAATTTCTGTGTATATCTACGTTTTGTTTCCCGTTTATATCAAGCATATGCATGGCCTCCTGCGCCACTAGGGCGCGCCGTTTCTAGTTTTACCTCTGGGGGAATATTCCGGGTAGTGGAATCCCATTTTCCATAATCTTCTATGTATTTGTACCTTACATTTTCCTTTGGGATCAGTTGGATGATTTAAATGATTGATGTCCTGTTCTATTAGTCCTGTGCTATTAGAAATTTTTCGGCGTTGGTCATATAGACAAATATTGCCACATCGGTACAAAATTTCACAATGGGAATGCGGGAAACATACATACACACCTACACACCGGCGTGTATGGCTTATATTATATTGATATCAATTCTAACAATGGCAACTAGTCATACATATGCTATATACGATATCAATATCCACGCTCCACAGTCAGATCTTAAAATAACGGGGGGCACTTCATCCTCTCAAGGGCAAGATTTTTGAGCCCAACGCCTCCTGCCGACAGAGCGGACACTCAGGTTTCTCTCTCACCCAGTCCCGTATACACGTCCAGCAGAATACATGTCCACACGTTGTCGCACTCGGATCTTTAAAGGATTCTAGACAGAGGGTGCACTTCCGTTGCTGGCCGGGCGGAACCCAAGCGAGCACGGCGTTGGTGGGATTCGCCATATCATATCGCGCCTCGCTTGCGGGTAGCGATTGGAGGGATGGTGGGTAGTATATTGCTTTGAGGGCTGTTTTCTGGTCGGAGCTTTGTTGGTTCTCCGCTGTTTCAGCTGTGAAGGAGGAGACTGTATCCTTGACGTGCAGGATTCCCTGCACGGCGATTTGCAAAACGAGCAAGACGCCTAGTACCTCATATCCGATTCTAGCTTCATTATCTTCAATTCGTTTTGTAAAAACATATCGAAGGCCCCAGATGCGTTTGGATATGTGGTAATATGCTCCAGAGAAATAGAAGGCGGCCAGGTTAAGTGCGAAGATTGGGGAGAGGGAGGTGAGGGAATCAAGATGGTCGAGGACATAGGTTTGGAAACGAAGTGTGAGGTTAGGTTTAGAGGGCGTTTCCTGTTTGGAGGACAGTAATGCAGCTCTTGCCTGTAAGCGGGCGACGCTGCGTTGGAGTTTTGCCCGCAGTTTCTGTCGTAGGGCGGGGAGAAGCCGCTGTAATGCCCATGGTATTAGAATGCTACTGAGGATATATCCGACCCGTCGAGCCAGCGATGGTAGTCGTAATGAGTCATCTTCCAGTTGTACCACGTCGCAATACTCTTCGCCCAGTGTTCTGTTTCCGACAAGCGTTGTGAGAGAAAGGTAGAGGAGGTCAGTGAGGTTTTTGATGGCATCGGTATGAGAGTGGGCGAATCTGGCGCCACGTAGAGCGCGAATTATTGTGTGTGCTTGAGTTGAAAGCGTCCCGGAAATGTACGCATCCTTTTCATGGCTGCGTATAATATCTGGAGATGTGGCCCATGGGAAGAAATGCGAGACGGGGGTAGCTGATGGTTTTGGGTTTATAGCCGGCGCAGCACCTGGATCAGAATCCATCTCGCAAGATGGATAGGATAGCTGAGGTGGGGATAAGCCGAGCTTCAAGTGGGTTCGATATACCAGTTAAAAGCTCAATATCATCCAAAAGTTCACATAATATAATATACCTGTCTCGTCGTAGTCAATTGAGAAGCGCAACGAGTGCGAGTTTGTCTGTCTATCCAGCTTCGGTTCCGCCGTAGTTTGCCTCGGCTTAGGAGATGTCACGAGACTATCATCACGTGAATTATGACATAATTCATGACATAATCAGGGTTGGTCGCCCCTTGTCCCAAATAGGAAATTTTGATAGCCAACTTTCTCGAAATAGCTTCTACGCAGCGTACGCTTCCAAACTGCGGAAGATACTTTGGCGGTCTTCTCGCTTTTTAAAGCTAATACAAGGTATCTAACATACCAGATAATAAATAACTCACTCTCAAGTCGCTCATTACCAGCTATCTTCTTACTCCGCCTCCTCTTACCCTCCTCCCCAATCCCCTGCATCGCTTGTCCGAGACAGCTCCGTGAGGGCCATTTGTTCAATTGCGATGGAATATGGATCCAGACCATGATGTGAACCGCAACCTGGACCAATTAAGCCGGTTCAGTCTCTTTTTCCCTTTACCTTACCGGGTGGCCATCGTACTAGTTGCAGGTAGGCTCTTTTCCTACATCTTCACTCTAGGATATCTTCTTTTCTGGCTCCGCTAACTCTGTCCATCTAGGGGTTTGGGGATGGGGACTGAACCTCCATTACTTATCAGCTGTCAAAATTGTACGTATACTCCTGTCGAAGATCTCTATAGCCTTTAAAGAAGAGCATTAGGACCAAATAAAAATGTCAAGAGGAGCGTTACCAACTAACATACTTCAGGATGTTCCGGCCTTGATTCGGTACCCGTCTCGATCGTCCATTCACCAGGTGCCCGTGTACCGTTCCACATATCACCTTGCAACTTTACTTTCAATCCCACTTGTGATATCCATCCTATTTTTCTGGTCTGTGACACATGGCTCCGCGGAGCACGTTATCGCCTGGGAAATAATCCCGCAATCCTACCTCTTCCTCTTCTTCGTCCTCCTAATCTTCCCCCTTCACCGGCTCTCCCGCACTGGACGACACAGGTTCGTCGTTGCGTTGAAGCGGATTAGCATTGGCGGGCTTGCGGAGACTCAAGATGGGAAATTTGGCGACATAATACTTGCGGATGTTCTGACCAGTTATTCCAAAATCCTGGGAGACCTCTTCGTCAGCGCCTGCATGTTCCTTTCATCCGACGCATCTAGCACCGGTATTCCGAATAGGAAATGCGGCGGCCAAATTGCTGTTCCCCTGCTTATTTGCATCCCCAACGCAATTCGACTCAGGCAGTGCCTGATCGAGTTTGGCCGGGTGCAAAGGGGAAACAGGAGCGTGGATGGTTGGGGTGGACAGCACCTTGCAAACGCGCTCAAATACTCGAGCGCCTTTCCTGTAATTTTATTAACTACATTGCAACGCAATCATGTCCCGGCTACCTCCTCTATGAGTGCAGAAAGCCTACATCGATTATGGTATGTTCCAATGAAAATGGCGCGATCAAACCTCTTTCCCCTAGGCCGCCTCCACTAATATCATACAGGATTCTATCCGCGCTCGTTAACTCACTTTTCACATTCTACTGGGACGTCGCCAAAGATTGGGACCTCACGCTATTTTCCGCGCTGAACCACCCCAACGACCCGGACCACCCGTTCGGCCTACGTCGCCACCGGTATTTCTACGCGAACGAAATGTACTATTCAGCTATTGTCATCGACCTAATTTTACGATTTACATGGGTTTCTCGGCTTTCTGCTCGTTTGGACTGGGTGAATGATATAGAAGGCGGCGTTTTTGCGCTCATGCTCCTTGAGGTTGTTAGGCGGTGGATTTGGATATTTTTCAGAGTTGAGACGGAGTGGGGTGAGTGCCATGATGAACCCCTCTTTTTGTTCCTGTTCATTATATATAACGTCGCTAACGTGGTCATTCTATTGAAACGTTTAGTCCGGAATAACCTTGGCCCAGCACCGGATGATATACTCCTAGGCGAATTTAACGGCAAGATAGACGAAGATTAAATAATAGATGGATCAAACGGACAGCGGGAAAGAGGCTGCTACTCTCCAGCTTGTCTTGTCACCCTTTTTCTTTCTCTTTAGCGTCTACAAACTTTTTGAGCTTTTTGAGATAACATTCCATGTACATGTGCTTACAGTACATTATATCCTTCTTATTTTATATAATTTATATTTCGGTTTACTTTGTATAATATCTCTTTTTGTTGTATTTTCGAATGGGGCTCGAACTTGCTAGTTCTCTAATAATTTCTCCAGGCCCATCCCAGTCAACAGTAGTCTATAGAGTACCATAGCAAATGTAAAACCCTAGCTGGAAACAAACTCAGATCAAAACCCAGGGAGAAAATGACGCCCATGAAAAACATTACTACAGTTACTTTGTGAGCGAAACGAGGAATGAAAGAGTTCGAATCTAATATATGAGATTTATACGGTTGTAAAGATAGCCAAGCTATTTATAGAGGATACATACAAAATTCGGTGGGGGCGGAAGGCAAGCGCATACGCAAAAGAAGAGCGTGAAAAGACACACAAAATGAATAAATAAAAGAAGATAGAAGGAAAGGAAAAGCAAGAGAAAAAGTTTCGCTATGAAAACAATGTGTAATATAATATACCTTAGATGGAATGTAAAAAAGAGAAAAGAGTTTCGCACCGGGTTGAATGAAAAAAAAAAAAAAAAAAAAAAAAAAAAAAAAAAAAAAAAAAGAGGCACAAGAAGGCGACGTAAAGGGAAGTGGGGAAATAAGCAGAAACTCCAACTCTAAGCACAAAAGTTCCTAGGCAAATATTCGAGGAGGGGAACGAGCAGCAGATATGCCTTCTTTGGTGAATACGAAGTGAGAATCAAACAGTATAACCGGGATTTTGGTAGGGCAAGGAAAACCCCTGAAAATTACCAGCAAGAAGGTAGGAGTGGAGGAGCATTTTTTTTTATACCAGAAAGAAAAGTGAGAAAAGGAAGGAAAAGCGGATCCCAAAAAAGAAAAGTCTTAAATTATTTACTTGTATAGCCAAAATCGAATAAGGACATTGCATGGGAGCCAATGTCAACCAAGAAAAGAAAGAAGGTAGAAGAAAATATATTAACTTTATATCATCTGAAACGTCAGAACCAAAAAAAAAAAAAAAAAAAAAAAAAGAAAGAAAGAAAGAAAGAAAGAATTGAGCAGCAGAAAAAGAAAAAAAAAAGCTTTAAACCAACTATCATTGACTAGGCGGGTGATTCTCAAACAAATCTTCTAGGTACGCGCTTGGTGCGCGCCCCTGTGGCGCAACCGATAGATTCACACTACTAGTCGAAGGAAAGCCCTGCTCATGGCCTCCTCCTCGACTTGTCGGCGCAAGACTGGGAGAGGCAGGCGGGGTGGTACCGCCTGTAGATCTCGTGCGGGGGTACCCCTGCGTCTGCGGGCCGAGTGGCGAGAGACCTATAGATTGGCCCGGGGCGGTGGTGGAGCCTGTAGCATAGTATCCCGCGGGGAGGTAGCTGGAACCCCTGTTCCCGCTCGTGTGCAGGCCAGCACCAGCAGTTGGGGAAAAGAAGAGGCTCGAGTTTGGCGTGTGGGTTCGCGGTGGTAATCCAGAAAGGCGTGCACCGCTGTTGCCCATCTTTTCCATCGACATGGATGCGCCAGGCGCAAATTGAGGGTAGACGCCGGATCTTCGCTTGTTGAGGAGCGCGGGGGTTGTATCTGACAGATCGGGGCGGGTTGCTGCGCGGCGGACGGACCGGTTGATAGACCAGGCTACCAGCACTCGCCAAAGGAATATTATCAGGCCGAACAAGCCTAGGGCGCCACCAACACCTATGAAGATAGAGCCATCTGGGATGCTTGTGGGTTGGAGATACGGAGCCCCGGCATGTGGGGGCACTTGCGGGGTGGGTGTTCTGAAGAGCGGGGGGAGGCTCAAGGAAGAACTATCGCTGGTTATTGAGGGCAAGTTGGCTGAACTGACGGTGGTTGTGGTAGGAGGATCAGTTGTGGTTGTTGTTGTTGTTGTAATGGGAGGAAGGACGCTCTCGGTTGTTCCAGTTGGTTGTTCAGTCTCTTGCGACGTGGTTTCGCTGGTTCCGGTGTTTGTGGGTTCCGGACTGGGGGCATCTGTTGTTCTAGGAGGCGGTCTTGGGTTTGGGGCTTGCGCTTCCACTTTGCCAACTAGAACCAGCAGACATAAAAACAGCACGAAAAGCAGGAATGGCCTCGAAGCCAGTCTCCGCAAGCGTCTCATAATCGACGAGGCACGGAGAATCTGCCAGTCGGTAGAGACAGGGCCTGGTAGAGCCGGGGGGGGGGGGGGGTTCTTGACTCCAATATAAAAATCCCGAGACTAACACAGTATCACCGAGTCCGAGCAATGAATTCGGCGACCCGATAGGGGATATCCAAGACCCCAATGTATTAAAATCAGTCTCTCTTATCTATAGAGGTGATCTCCGGGTTTGAGATGTGGGTGGCGCTAGGTGGGGGATTGGTTAAAAATCCCGGATCTGGCAAGGAATGTTGGTCTGAGGGAAGGGTGGAGTTGGTTGGCAAAATATGGGTTAAAACAAATGAAATACGTAGCGACGGAGACTCGAGGAGGAGCTACAGCGAGGAGAGAGCTGCACACAAGCAAGAAGACTAGTAGATAAAGAGCGTACACGCAGCGGAACGAGAGAGGGGCGCAGCGAGTGGAGAAATATTCTGAGGACGTTGAAACAGACGCAGGATGAGGCTCTGGCCGTGGGGCTCATCTTGAGGGCTGTGATTGGCTGCTTGTTATATAAAAATGGACAACCTATACCATAAGGGGAATGGTTTCCTATCACCAGTCTCAAAATAGAATAATCACGTGATTTAGGTTTCTGGCCCAAAAAGGAAAATGTCCGAAATCCAATTGAGCTTGATATACTCCATACTAGCCAGCATAACAAAAAATATCAAGCAGATAGCCTCTGCCGGATCTTGACATAGATTTCTCTTCCCTTTCCCGCCCCCCCTTTTCGCTGCTGTTTCGTGCATCTACTAGGGCAAGCCTACTCATCGCGGCATTCACTAGCTAGCATCCCAGTACTCCGTAGAAACGCCGTCATCTCGAAGTAGGACGTTGGATAGTAGCAAGGGCGTATATAGTGCACGACGTCCCCCGCGCTTTTGAGTTCAAACACGAACTCTACATCTCTCAAATATAAAATTCACGGGTGAAAATAAACACGTCCGGAGGTGTAAATTTGTATTGTTTGTAAAAGCCAGCGACCCAGATCTAGCGGGAAAAATAACCCGACAACGGAAGAAAAAAAAAAAAAAATAACCCATGGACAGATAAAACACTATGAAGAGGGGAAAAAGCACGATCTGCCATAAGTAAAAGCAACATAAAATATAAAACAACATAAATGAGTACACACCAAAGCGCGAAACCAGAAGAGTATAGACATGTATGAAAGAGAAAGTAGATGAACGTAACACCATCATACCTCCCTAAATTAATAGGGGGAAAAGGCGGAACAAAAAGAAATAAATCAAAAAAAAAAAAAAAAAAAAAAAAAAAAAAAAAAAAAAAAAAAAAAAAAACCCCCGTTTTCCCTTTATGGGCCAAAGCGAGGAACAAAAAACAAAACTTTTTGCTGCTTTTTTGCTGCCGCAGGACTATTATCCTTCTCAAATGCAGCATAGGACACCTTCAGGCTTAACAGGGCCGAAAGCCCCACGTAGGTAACCAGGGCGAATAACAGGCCGCCCATCAGTCCCATGAATATTCCTATCGAAGCGCATGTGTGTCAGTGAGATAAATCCATGAATAAATGAGGACATAAGACAGCATATAAAATAAACACCCCATGCCGTCGGTACTAGGGGGAAGCGAAGGGAGAGAGAGAGGGGGGGGGGGGGGGGGGGAAGAAAGGAAAAGAAAAAGAAACGCACCCGGGCTAAGGAACTGATACTTCTCAAACAACGGTTGATTCCTCCATTGCTCGTCACCGTCGTCTTTACCATCACCCTCGCCATCACGGCGCACATGCGAATGCGCCGCGGTGTCCCGATTCATATTGGTCCGCAGCGGGTTCTGGTAGATATCTGTGTCGATCTCGTTGTATATGGCCGGCTCCTCTGTTTCGATACCCGCCGGGGTAAACTCTCTGGGCGTCGTGGTGTATAGCACAGTGTAATCGCGCGACGGGAGGCGGTCGATGATGGCATCAAGGAACTCATCTATCATTTTCATTCAGTTCATATATTCCCGCAAGCACACAGGGATGACCTCACCCACCATTCTTGACGAGTTGTTCAGATCTATTCGAGTCCGCAGCTACGCTGGCAAAATCAACCCTGAGAACCAGCGGTGTTTTCGTGTATGTCTGTAGTTTTGTGCCTGTTATACAGCGACCCCTCGTCGGAAGCCAGATGATTAGCCAGCCTTTCTTCAACCTCTCAGTCCAACCCGAGTTACAATATGATGTATGAGACCAGAATCCAGAAAAACTCACCCGACACATCAACCCTCTCAACCACCACCCCACACCCCTCCTCCAATACCCCCTGCAACGTATCCACATCCACCCGGCCCACAACTTCACTAACGGCAAAACTCCCCTTCACCTCCTCATCCAGCTTCAGCACCCGCCGCCGTAGCCGCGGCGTGGCATCGCCGGAGCTGTAATCGCGTGCGTGCACGCCCGGTTGCGAGATGAGGATGTAGGTGGCTGCGGAGCAGGATTTGAGAGCGGGGGAGGTGGAGAGGGAGGTGGAGAGTGTGTTTGCGGCTTCGAATTGGCGGGAGGGGACGGGGAAGGCGGTTCTGTGAGTATCATGGGGTTAGGTGGGTTGTTTCTCAATGGGGGATTTTGTTCCAGGGGGAGGGGGCGTAAAAAGGGAATGTATGTATGTAAAAGAGGTAGATGGTACGGTAGGTATGTCTAGGGGGAATGGGGGGATGTGGATACTCACTCGTGTGTAGAGAAGAGGAAGAAGGGCGATGTATCTCTGAATGCGTCGACGGTTGTTACCGCTGCTGATGATGCGAGGGCGAAAAGCCCCAGCCCGTTGATCCACATGGTCGCTGCTGAGGGCAAGGCAGCTTGGTGGTATGGTCTGTGGTTATGCGGTTCGTGTATCGAGTTGTACGTTGTTGTACGGAGTATTTATATAGTTACGGATGTTGGAGCTTGAAGCTTGTGTTTGGATGGATGGAAAGCGGCTTGCAGGCGAGTTGACGACATTGGTGGTCTTGGCATCAGAATCGACTTTGCCGCAAACTCACTCCCTCACTCCATGCTACTCAAACTACTCCGTACACACACAATTGTTGAATTGTTGATAATCTAGACCTATTGTTCTCTGATCAAGCAAGTCTAACTTTATCATAAATAGTGCATGTTTTACAATTAGGAATTCCCCAATGATACCCAGAAAAAATACTACATATCTATACGAAATAGATCAATAAAACATAGAAGCCCATCTCAGAGCCAAAAGTTTCCAATATCTTGCAAGCTCTATATCATAAGTGCTAGTGTAGTGGGAAAGATGAAATGAAAAAGTCCCAACTTTAAGAAATAAAATAGGGAAACATAATCTTAGGAGATCTGGGGGGAAATAACAGAGAATAATTCGACGACTCATGTGGCCGGGGTAGTTAAACTTATTAAAATGAGATACATTCCTTTTCCTTGCCTTGCCATACTTCCCTTCTTATCTTTGTATCTTTGTTTTTTTCTTTAGTGCCACGCGTGCACTTTTCCCACCCCGCTTCCTTTTCTATTTATTTCCTCCCCACCCATTCCCTCCTTTCTATTTATTCCGACACACACACACACACACACACACACACACACACATATATATATATATCACAACACCACCAAAAGTAGCTCAGCCCCCCATCCCCATCCTCATCCAACCGATCCCAACTCTCAAACACAACCTCATTCAATAATCAAGATAAACAAACTCCCACTCACGCCTTAGCAGGAATATGAGCCGAGGGCACAGATCCATTGCCAACAGCCTTCATGCTCGCCTCGCGGGCACCCGTCAGGGCGAACTGAGATGGGATACCCTCAATGCGGTGGGTGGAATTTATATTCTTCACAGCCATGATTTGCCAGCAGGTGGCGCTGCCCTGGCGCGAGATGATGGTGGAGTAGGCAAGGAAGTATTCCCAGATCTAATGGGGGAGAGAATTAAATTAGGTTTTGCTCTTGTTTTTATGGCGGACAAACTAGAGACAGTGTTAGAGGAATGGAAAACGGAATGGAAAACATACTCTGTACCACCTCTTGCCATACTTGGCCTGTACCTTCTCTTTATTAGCGACCCAGTTCCGGTACCACCGCCATAGCGTCGCGGAATAGTGCACGCCAATGGTGTCAACGGCCCTAATCTCGAACCCAGCACCTTCAAGCCGATCAATAACAAAGCCAAGCGGCGTGCTAGCGTCCGCGCCCGGGAAGATATACTTGTTCATGAACAAGCCCCAGATCAGATCCTCGTACTGCCACGCCTTGCGCAGGCCAGCAATCTGCAGGAAGAAGACGCCGTCGTCGTTCAGCATGTCGTAGACCTGTGAGAAGAAGGAGGCCAGGTGGCGCACGCCGACGTGCTCAGCCATCTCGAGACAGGTGATCTGGTTGTAGCCGCCGGGGACGGCGGGGCAGTCACGGTAGTCAGAGCAGATAATGCGGCTCTGGGATTCGTCGATTCCGGCCTTGCGGAGGCCGTTGTTGCCCCATTTAGTCTGGTTGCGGCCGAGAGTGATGCCGGTGACATGGGCGCCGTAGTGCACGCTGGCATATTTGGCGAGCGTGCCCCAGCCGCAGCCTAGGTCTAGTACCTTGTCACCAGGTTTGATCTGGATCTTTTCGCAGACGATGGCGAGTTTGTTGTCCTGGAGTTCCTCGAGGGTTTCTTCCCTGGTAATGTCGCTGATGATGCCGGAGGTGTAGATCATGCGTGGGCCCAGGAACCAGCCGTAGAAGTCATCACCACGGTCATAATGGCCACGGACTTGCTCCTCATCTGTAGAGGGCGTTAATATACGTACAAATTACACGTCAGAAAAATAAATAAATAAGTAATTAAAATAAATAAATACCTTGGCTACGAGTATGCATGATAACCTCCGGAATCATGCCCGTCAAAAAGAACTTATACAAGCTCATCGTAAAGCGGAAAGCAGCCCAATCATGGCGATACTCCAAGGCCTCAAGACAATCACCCTTGAAATCCACCACACCGTCAAAGTACATCTCATGGAAGGTCTCCATTGGGATCTTGCTCTTGCCGTGGTACCTGGCACGGTCATGCTCGTTGTGGAAGTGCAGGTAGTGTTCGACGGGGCGGCCGGGGTATTTGGCCTTCTCATTTTTGCGAGGGGAGATGGAGGAAGCGACGGACCAGAACGCCATGAGGATGGGGATTGAGGTAAACAGGGCCAGGAAGACGGTTGTGTACAAGCCGCCGCCGATTTGACGGGCGAAGTAGGCTGGGATGAGGACTAGGAGGGAGATGAGGAGGACGTTGGAGAAGCTGTCGCTTCCGGCGCCGTCGGCTGGTAAGGGGGCATTTTTGATGGCGGGATACTATACACAACATCAACTCGAATTAGAGAAAGAATTGGCAAAGACAACTGGAGGTTTGTAGTCTAAAACCAATTGATGGGGGGATTGGTTGGTACAAAATAGGTAAAGAAACCAAGCAATTGAAACTCACCGACGTGGTCCGCACACCACAGCTGTCTGACGGGGGAGAAGGGGATGGGGCAGCGGGAGTCTCGATGAACTCGAAGTCCTCGGAGGACTCGGAGTGAGCTCTCGCCATGGGTGTGTTTTGTTGAGCTGGGCTGAAGGGTAGGGAGGGAATTGGAGAGGGATGGAGGTGGAGAGAGAGAGGAGAGGAGAGGAGAAAAGGAAGAGCAAGAAGAGGAGGAAGAGGAAGAGGAAGAGGAAGATGCAGCAGAAGTTATTTAATCTGGTGGTGGTGAGGTTCTAACCTTGGACGGACGGGCAACAAACTAAAATATTTAGCTCCCGGCCCTGTGAACGACACGTTGGAGCTATTATTATTATTATTATTATTATTATTATTATTTACAACAGCGTACGGAGTAACTTACTGTGGAGGAAAGTTGAACAAGACAAGAAGAAGACAGCAGACAACACACGGAAAATGAAACCTACTATTATTATAATTGAATTATTATTGGGAAACAGAGAGCATGCGGGATTGACCGACCTAACTACCTCAATAATAATAACTCCGTACAATGCCTGGTAGGAACAAGGAACAAGCCGCCGCCCTCAACAAAATAAATAATGAAATAATACGCTGCGTAGTAACTAATAATAAGAGTAATAATAGTTTCATCCTTCATCCCCCCCTTGAGGCGCTGAGATCCAGGAACAGAATCCTTGACGGTTGGGATTATATCATGATTACGCAGTATGAAAAAAGACTCTCTTCTCTCTCTCTCTTCTCTCCATTACGCAACGCGTCGTTCCGTCGGCAGACTGGGCAGACTAGCCATGGTTGTTGTTATTTGTATTCTTTTTATTATATATCATTTTACTATTTTGTTATTATTGTTATTCGGAAAACCCCACGTAAATAACATGGCGCTTATCCCCATCCTCGCCATTGGAGTAACAACCTCTCTTCGCCCGCCAATTCTGATGCGAGATGACACCGCGACTCTTTCGACTAAAAAATGCCTGTATTATTTTTATTATTATTATTATTCCCACGCTGTAATATAATGGTTTTTGTTATACAATAACGCAGGTTCAAATCTGTAATACCTGAGCAGCACGATCAACCACAAGAAAGAAAGTAGGAAACGCCAAGAGTCCTCTGACGACGCCTTTAAAGATTCAAACAAAACAGAATGCCCCCACACCCAATTGCCCCCCAATTCACATGCCTTTAGTAAATAAAAAAGAGAAAAGATAGAGCAAGGGTAAACCGGAATCGTTAAGATAAAATCACGTCACAACGTAAGCTGGAAATCCGCTGCCTCATCATCCTCCACGCGGAACAGCGCGATCTCCTCCTTCTCCTCCTGCTCCTCCTGCTCATATTCAGGCGCAGAATCAAATAACCCCGCAGCCTTGCACCGCGACCACATCTCGCTCCCAAACGGCGGGCTGCCGTAGACCTCCATATATTTGGCTGGGGAGAGGATATCTGCCGGGTTCTTCGAGCTCGAGGTCGCCTGCCTAGCGGTAGTATTCTGTCTACTAGTAGTCGTGCCAGCAGTCTTCTGCCATAAACTAGATGATACCCGTCGCCCCCTGGAATATCCAACTGTGGTCCGTGAACTGGCCGTGGCAGCCGCATGGCGCATAGTTGACGGGTTGGACGGAGTCGGCTGTTGTTTTTGCTGCCTTTGTTGCTTTTGCTGTTTTTGCTCCTGTTGCTGTTTCGTAGGCCGGGCGAAGCCCGACGAGAACCTGATCTTAGGTTTGGGTTTAGGCTTATGCTTTGGCATAGGGGGAGCAACAGTAGATTGTGGTTGCTGAGAGAGCATCCTCGCAGCAGTGCGCGACTTGACCGTAGAGATGGACCGGTCCACAATGACCCTTTTAGCCGGCTGTTGTCTCATCACCCGCTTCCTCATGATCTCCGCAGCCATCTCTTCAGCACATGGTTCATCGGGGAACTGGCGGACATTGATCCCCAGAAGCTCCATGTTGTCGACTTGCTCCTGGATCAGGGCATCCATCCGCTTATCGTATGCTTCCTGTTCTGCTTTCCTTTCTCGCTCCTTGCGGGTCAATCCATCTTCCCCGACTTCTTCGTCGGCGAATAATTTATGCCACCCGCGCGTGAAGTTCTTGCCTTTGAATTGTGGGAAGTCCTCGTTGTAAGGGATGTCTTCAGGGGGGTCCGGTAATGCTGTGGGAAATATAATGAAAATAATAAGATATAAACCACTTAAATACGCAGTGATCAAAAAATCGGAAAGGATGGGGGAGACTTAGATACGTACGTGTTGGTTTAGGGGGCATATATTCAATATCTGGAACATCCTCCTGCGTGTTTTCTACAGTAACTGCCCTAGGCTGGCTTGGCTGGATTTCAGGAGCACTATGCTTCAGTTTTCGAGTTGTTGAAGGCCGCTTTACTGTCTTGGCTGGCTTAGATGTACCCAATGGTGGCGCTGGGGTTTGAAAGGAGTTCGCCTTTGCATTTGTCGTTTTCATCCCCAAGGGAGCACGACTTCGCGGGGCTATATCCCAGAAAACAAGCGTCAGATACAACTGTCCAATTATCGAGGACGCGGGGAATACTTTGAAATCAACTCACCCATCGGCGTAACGAGTGCATTCCCACCAGCAATCGTATCCTTCCCCGGCCTTGGGAGGTTCTCATTCTGTCCATTATTCACCTTTCCTGTCTTCCTCCCTCCTCCAAATGCCAGAGGGTTATTTTCGTCATTTAGTGGTAGTTTAAAAGGTGTGTTTGGTGCTCTATTTCCGGGAGTCTTTGGCTGTAGTTGTCTGGTACTCTGGTTCAGGGGCTTTGCAGCAGCAGCCGTCCGATGGGCATGGACAAGGTTCTCTTGATCTCTTGCGGCCAACATTTTGAGGTGAATGATGGGTTTAATTTTACACTGGCGGAGTCTCCCGCCAGATGCAAGGGAGTAATTCCTTTTTATTTGTTTTCTTAATTAATTCGAGTTGAAGAGTTGATGCAAGAAGGCTGATACATAGTTGATGAATTATTGTCTTCCTCGTCAACCACAAGTCGCTGTTATCGTATCAACGTCAATGTTTTGGGCAGGCGTTGGCAGGGGAACCAAAGTCCATTACTTAATATCTTACCTAATCCACCCAAACAGCAAACCCGCCGGGTTTCACTTGCTTTCCCTCCCCGCTACAAACTAACCAACTAACGACAGACAGGCAACTTGCTAGACCAACCAACAATAATAAGCAGAAACATCCCTCACTTGTCTTGTCTTGTCTCCTTATCTCTTGTCTCTGCCCGGCAGTTCTCTGACATCCCTCTATACTCAACCAACTACCACCTCGTTTTGTTCGTCTATCTCGTTGACCGACCATACCTTTTGTTTACCTGCCCCTCTCCACTTAAGACTCGCCTACCCTTAACAAACAACAACCGTCAACATGGATAGAATCAAGGAGGTCCGTATTCCCTGTCTAGTTACCGCGGGGTAGCATCCGGAGGGGTGGTCCCAGAGCTTCGTTCGCCCCCTTTCCACCCAAACCCCTCCTATAGCAATTGAACCTCTGCAGCAAACGAAGGAGGGGTGGGAAAGGAAAGGGGGAAACGGAGGCGGCGGAGCGCGGAGCGAGGCTTGTTTCTGCTGCCTTCATAAACTCCAATTAGATTTAAAATAAATGGATATAATTAGAACTGACCTTGGCTTACTTTTGTTTTCTTTTTTGGGAATATACAGAAAATGAACACCCTCCGCCTGGAGGCCGACGATGCCCACGCCAAGGTCGAAGAGCTACAGGCTAAAGTCAAGGCTCTCGAGCAGGAGAATCTGGCAAAGGAGCAGGAAATCAAATCTCTCACACATCGAAACCAGCTGCTGGAGAGCGACATCGAGAAGCTCGAGGTCGATCTTAAAGAAGCTAAGGCTTCCGCCTCCGAGAACGCCCAGCATGGTACACAGAATGAGTCTATGCAAAGACGTCTGCAGCTCCTCGAGGAGGAGGCCGAGGAGACTGATAAGACCCTCCGTGAGACGAATGAGAAGTGCGTTTCTCCTCTTCTCCCTTCCTCTTTACTTTTTGGGGGTTTCCCTAAGTGCAACTTTTATGATTTCAAGATGCTAACCACCATGTTATTCAAATTTAGGCTCCGCCAAACCGATGTCAAGGCCGGACACTACGAGCGCAAAGTCCAGGCGCTCGAGACTTCCCGTGACCAATGGGAGGCCAAGTATGAGGAAATGGCCCAGAAGTACGAGAATTTGCAGAAGGAGCTACGGGAGCTGGAGACTGCCATGGGCAATGTGTAGATGATGGGGGTAGGGAGCGTGGTGTATACAAATATATTCTTCAACAAGCTTGTCTCTTTCTTCTTAGTCTCGCCTCGTGTCGCTTCTCTCCATATGTGATTGCGATCTCGTGCTTCTAGTCACTGCTTGAACTGTTAAAGGAAGACAGAAAACCGCCAAATAACATGTCACTGTTCTGACCTTGAAGCTACTGTCATGTGTCATGTGCTTTTCTTTTCTTTTCTTCTTTTTTTCCCCCCTACTATCCTCTTTTATATTTATTTCCCCAAATTTGTCCACGTATGATTTATCTTTCCCGACTGCGGTACATAGAGCCTTTAATGAGATTCGATTCATTGTTGCCCATGGCAACTGTTCCATATGTTCTGTTTATCAGGTTCGTAGAGTCGTGGCCGTAATCATTCGTATCTGTTGCAATGATGTATCTCATTTGATCAAATCGAATGAATAACTCCATACGTCTCGTCGGGAATGAATCTATGTCGCCACCCTCCTCTCCCTCGCCCGCTTCTTGCCCCCAGCCCGCTCCTTGAACTTCGTAACCCTCCGCTCGGCCTTATTCTCATACCGGAAACTCCTCTTCTTCCTCTTCGAATTACTCTTCGACCGACCCGACGCATTATCACCATTCTTATCAGTATCCTTGTTTTTACTCTTATACTTCGGGTTCTCCTTGGTCCATACTCGCTTTTTCGGTTTTGATGTATCCTCACCACCCTCTCGTCCTTCATGTTCCGCCTTGTTCTTGTTCTTTTTCTCTTCCCCATCATCTTCACTGTCGTCTTCGTCGTCGTCACTCTCCACACCAACTCTCCTCCTCAGCCCGTCCCGCGAAGAAGAATCCAACTCCTCCACCGTAACAGTCGTATATTTATCCTCGTCGATATATTCCGCCTCATAGTCGACCGGCGGTGGCTCGGCGATTCCCTCCCACTCCTCATCCGTACTATTATCATTCTCCCCATCTTCATCCTCATCGGAACCGCTCTCCCCCGCCGCCGCACGGCTTATCTCCCGCATCAGCGTTCTGTTTTGCTCAAGGGCTCGTTCGAATTCTGCGCGGCGCTCGTCTCGTATCTTTTTTACCCCATTAAATAGGATTGGTTAATGAATTTAACAATGGAAACACAGCACCTCAAATGGATTTCTCTTCTTTTCTTTCCCGGAAAATTGTATATATATCTTTTTGAAATTCAACCAGAAGAAGAGAAACTACTAACCCGCCGCCTCTGCTCCCTCTTCTCCTCCTTCGCTCTCTTCTCCGCATTCTCCTGTGCCTGCTTGGCGCGCTGTACCTTGCGCTTATGGAAACCCGTCAAGTACTCCGCCCGCGCACTGGGATCGAAGAGGATCTCTGGAACGGCGTTGGGGTGGGAGGAGGTCAGTTTGCGTTTTTTGGGGTAAGGCGCCATATTTTCTATCTTCCTAGCGCTCTGGTTCTGTTTGCGGGTTGATTTAACTATTTATTTATTTGGTTGTTTTCTTCTTGGTGCTGGTTTCGCTTGCGAGGATCGGGGTATTGATTAATTGATTAAGTAGGGGTTAGTGAAGTGTTAGGGGAAAGATTGTACAGTATTTGCTTCGATGATTCCTTTTATTTAGATAAAAAAACAAGAATTATCAGAGCTTCAAGTTTAAGCGGGCATCAGTGCCAAGGAATGAATTTGCCAAGCCTTCGATCCACATCAAGCCTAGCGCTATCAACCGGCAGTCCTTCTCCAACGACCTATATACAGTAGATTTGTGCAGATATTAGGATTGATTCCGACTCTATCATAACTCACCACTGACATCTTCTCTACTGATTTTACAACGTCTCTAACGAGCTATCCTTCGACTGGGGAATAGCATCTGCTCATCCAAACTGTCACCTTTCGTCAGCGATGCGTGGATGTTTAGATCGATCGATCATGAGTCCTTAAAAGAACAAAATTATGGCGGATAATCCGCATGGTGTTACGAAGCCCGTTCCTCATCCTTGCACTCGGGGGTTCTAACATATGGCATCCATCCTCCCACGAAAGCAACGCGGAGCTAGTGGATCCGCGACGTGGCGAATGCGATTACTGACTTGAGAAAACATGAAGCTTCAAAATTCGCTGTTCTAGAAATACATGACAGAGGGACACCTGCTGTCTATGCATATATAAGGTCGGTTGATACACGGGCACATCTCGATATCTTTTACCGCACTGCAATTTTCTCTCTGACATTGCTCCAGTGACGTCAGGCGTGTGGGCCAACCGTCGAAAGGTGCACTCAGAGGGGTTCGCGAGGTTCATCTCATGTCATAGTCGCAATGCAAAGACTTCTGTCTATATAAACTAGGCCCGCGCCTTCGAATCTTGTCAAGCTTCTTAGATGCCGTTTGCCGGTGCCATTGAAATAGTAAATGCGGCTGACGGAGGGAGTTCTGAAACCGCCACATCAATAAATACATTGTTAATATCCAGAGAGGAGGAGGCATGCGTTTCTTACTCTTTCTTTCACTGGGATATGCAGTCTCTATCTTCGCTAAATAAAGATGTCGGGGCCGTATTCCGTCAACTTCCACCCAGGCACAGATAAAAAAGAGTGTTTCTTTTTCAGAGTGGTTTGTCTGAAACAACTAATGATATTCACCTGAAGCTAAAAATGACGACGAGACGCGATTTTTATTTAACATTTTTCGCGGACTCGGATTCGTCCTGCCATTAAGAGCAAGTACGGGACCGCTCAGAACTACAGTGTACTCATCTTGGATAAATTTCATCTAATAACTACAAAGCCAAACGTTTTTCGTACTGGTGATAAGCCATATAATACCTGCTTTGAAAATTCTGCTCATTGAAGACCAGTGAAGTTTAACGTCATCGCTTTCATCGGGTTCTTTCACATGAAATCTCACTCGCGCCGAAGTGGCATATGATATGTATGCGAGGATATTACTCAACCAATCTTCAAATCTTTTTACCTTTTCCTTTACAACATCATTCTCTCATCATCCCATCATCGAGGTTAATCTAGTTGTTCTGGATTGCCATGGGTGTCCTCCAAAGACGAAACAGAGACATTTCGCCACAAGACCTGCTTACCTCCGGATATGCTGACTAATAAAACAGCCTATATAATTCCCAATGAGGGTGTAGTTTATGCCTTCGGGCATTTGGTCAATTGAAACGATACAGAGAAGATTAGCATGGCCCCTGCACTAAGGATGACACGCTCAATCAAAGAGAAGCTACAAGTTTTTTTTTATATCCCTTACTGACCCTTCGTGGTGATGGATCGTGCGGTCTTGTAATTTTTGATGCAAGTTTCGATGGTTTTGGTGGGGAAATGCGCAATAGGCGTTGAGTGGGCTGAGGGCAGTAGTGGTGTTGTGGGTTCGAAACGGGGAAACGTCAGATTTATTTTAACCAGCCCAACGACATTTTTTTTTTTTTTTTTTTCCCCACCAAGTCGAGGCAGAAACAAAATCTCAAATCTCAAAATAGAATAGAGTATAATAATAATAAAAAAGGAATAAAATAGCTCTCCACGGAGCGGGGAGTGCTTTTTCTTTCCCACAAGGCAAAGGAACCACCCCCTCAGTCATCTAAAACGAATTTTGCGTATGCCATGGCTATTATTGAATCAAACAAATAAATAGTTAACTAGTTACAAAAAGTTACCTTAACAGAAAGACGTCTCCGGTGCATTTCCGAGGGCTCTCCAACACTCTTTTTGATCCACTGCGTTTGCTCTATGATTGTAACTCAATGTATAGTTATATGTACATGTACGGAGTACACACAAATACTCTGTACTCAACTAAATAACTCCTCCCTCGGAGTCCCCTCTCCCCTTTCAAATTCTGTGCTTTGGGCATCGGCCCGGACGGCTGTTTGCGCATGTGTGCATACCGTTATTTTATGATCTTCAGCATGGATTGGATTCCATCAGTGAAAGTCAGTTGTTAACTTAGTTTTAGTTACTTACGTTGTCTCCATCCCAGGGTTCGCGGTGTCATGTAAGTTAGTATTATTATTGTAAATATTGACATCGGCCAGTACGGCGGGTGTAAAACAAGTTTAACCGAGCGGAAACTTCATCAGCAGGACAAAAACAGGCCAAACCGTAATTGTGTTTTAGACATATAATTTCTTTTTATTGTTTAAATATTTATCCTTTTTGCCAATGCTGTCATGGAACTCGGCTGTGGGTGCCGATATGTATACGGAGTTCGTGTTTTAAGTGCATGGAGGTTTAGACAATAACTTATAACTTTCCTGGCCTCCGCTTTTTTTTTTTTTTTTTTTTTTTTTTTGTATTTCTCTCCCTCATTCACTACCAGCAACAAATATTAATAAATAATAATACTAATACTAATTATAATAATATATATACATATATATATATACACTCATGGGGTTTCTCTTTCTATGAGAAACCTCGCTTTTCCGCTTGATCACAATCTTGCAACACACAACTAGCCAGGTACTCCTCCTATCCCTATATGTAATCTTTGGGAGTTTGCCCAGTTCCCACCCACCCTCAAAAATAAAATAAATCGCCAAAATACTATAAAACACATCCGAATGACGGCCATCAACATCAGTATACAACTTGACAGTAAGAAACGATACAAAGAAGAACCCCAGCCAACCACCAAACCCCCTCCCCCCCCAGGGTTCAAACCCTTTAGTCAACTTCCATTGACCGAATGCACAGTACAGGCGTTAATAAAGACACTGCTGACTACTGCTATTAGGTTCCCGAAATCTCCACGGCCCCCTGTTATTCCTCAACGACAATGGCGTGGCAGGGAAAGTCGTCGTTTACAGCTGTGACAGTGCGCAGTTTGATTCCGTGAGGATTATCCTGGAAGGTTTGTTCTCTGTTTTCTTATTCATTTTCCCGCCGCATAACGAGGCGGATGGATGGGATGGTATATAACTGAGACAGAATAATCCTAACGCATGACATTAATTAGGCACGATACGCAGCTCTCTCATCAGTGCAGCAATATGGTCATCCGCACAGGGCAGCCGCATGGAAATGAAACAGAAGGTAGTTACCCCAGATCCTCACAACCCCCTTATCCAGGGCAATAACTGTGACCGACTGACACTGTGACACTCACGATACGTGAAAATAAATAAAGCTCATCCACATGCAAACCTCACTGCAGAAAAGAAACCACCAGCCAGATGACCAAGGAACAGTAAGGTTCCCATTCCACTTCACCATCCCCAGCCACATCCTCATCCCCAAAAGCGGCGGCGCTTCATCCACAGACATGGTCCACCCGCTTCCGCCTTCCCTCCTAGTCGATGTCGACAGCAGAAGTCTCACCACCCCGTCAATTTCGACCGCACAGAGTAGCCAACGTGCCGACTGCAGAATCGCATATACGCTGCATGCATATCTCATGCGCAACGGTAGCACGACGACGGGGACGTTCCGACATGTCATGCTGTTTCCAACGCAGGAACCGCAACCGCCATCATGTACGAGCGATTTCCCGGGCGATTACGCACTGTCGCGATCGGCCGTGCTTAGGACTGCGATGCTCTTCCGACGACTGGGCCAATTGTCTGTAGAAACGATGGAGCCGGCGCCGCTTGAGATGAGTAGGAAAAAGAACGGGGCATCAACTGCCATCCATTTGGTGTTAAGGTTTCGCGAGTCGCGAGAAAGGAGCAAGTGCGAGTCGATGTCGCCGCCAACTCCGGATTTTGGTGCGGTTTCTTTAAAGTTGAAGCAGATGACCTTCATTTCTGTTGAGCCCCAACGACGGCTGCCGGCCACCCGTGACCTATTGACGTCGCCGTTAATGGCGAAGGACACGGAGATCATCTATGAGCAGTTGCGGAAGCTGAAGTTTTCGCCGTGGGTGAGAAGTAGATGGAAAGAGGAGGATGGGGGAATTTCGGGTAAATATAGTCTTTTTTTTTTCTCTTTCAGAAAGAAAATCGAACGAAATGGTTTGCTGACACTTGTTTCCCATTACGTCCGCACAATAGATCAGGAAAGACGGGTATGGGAAACGAAAGCAACACTCATTTTCACATATGCGAATGGCAAACGCCCAGCTCCCACGTTTAGCTCGGCTTTGGTATCACGGCGGTACAGTGTTCGCATCGCTTTTCGTCTGGAGAGGGTTTATCACGGGACCCTGGAGCTGGAGGTACCACTTCAGATCATCTATAGAGGGGACGGCCAGATTCCATTGTCGGATGAGAGCGAATTAGGAGACTCCGAACTTGCATCGTCCGATGAAACACTGACGCTGCGAAGTGAATCGCAATCTACCGCGGTTACTCTGGCCGCTGAAAATGAACAGGCACCAGATTATGTTCCGTGATTTTGAAGGGCGCGATTGCGAACGCTCGTATTTTTCCTGCACAGTATATGGTGGGGCCTTCATGATGTATGTACGTATGGAGAATATTGAACGTAATAAAAAGAAATATTATTCTAATCCGCTGCCCGATCTGGAGTAGCGGCAACAAGCTTCACCACATAGGCATTTCTTGTCAAGCTGCTCCCAGTAGTGGTTAGAGTAGTCGACAGTAAGCTCAGTGTCAGCAGCGACACCGCGAGAAACAATGATAATCCTTTTCAATACCTAGCCAGTAGAATCTTTGAAACTGGCAGTCTGGGCGGCAGGAGTGGTTAACGAATCTCGTAGGATTGCCTGAGAAAAGGCTTAGCCAAGGTCCACCAACAAGCAGAGAATATGAAAGAAAAACAAACCCACGTGGCCTTGATATATTTGGTACGGCCGTTCTTGTGAATCTGCTACCATCACGTCCATGCCTTCGATCCCGGTCGTAATATAGCCGACGTATTCGCCAATGGTAGTTCGACGTTCAAGATCCTGGTGGGACAAATTAATACAAAAGATTAAGTTGGACTGATGAACGGGATTTCAATACACATCGCGTAAGCACGCCATTATTCTTCCCATTTTTGGTTTGAAAAATCTGTAGCGGCGGAGGAAGATCTGGGGTTGCCGTATACTGCAGCGATTGACCTGCACGTTATCAGATTGATACAGATGGCATTGCCGGAAAGTATGCAGATCCATATATCTAGTACTCAACGTGGGTCTTCGTCGCCAAAGATATCTCTGTCCCATGTGGACTCGTCGATAAATTGAAAAAAATAAAATCTCCCGGAATATGAGGGTACGTTACAGAGAGGGACAAGACTGATGTCCCGTTCTCCGTTACCACCCATTCGTGTAAGCGCGAGTTTTGTCCAATGACTTCGAGATGTTGGCGCCATTCCGAGTCAACGGTCTCCGCCGCCACTTCAAAACTATCTCGTAGCTGCTGCAGTCAAGAGCTAAATGCATCATCAAATCCAGTGCGATACTTGCAGAATCTGTAGACCCCTGAGCTGGCAAAAGCCAGGCTTGCCCAGCCTCCGGCGTCCTTGATTCTCCCTATAGCCGCGCCATATTGCACTACTACACATGGGAAATTAGATATCTAATTTTTCTTTTTTTCTTTTTTTCTTTTCTTTATATATATATATATATATATCATGCAACGTAAAGGAAAGGAGATCTCAAAGAAGATCCCATTTCCCACAGTTTATTTCTTAACTCTTTCTCCTTCACTGGAGAATAGAACAAGCCTCTTTGATGGCCTCCATGCGAACCTCGGTTGCGGACTTTGATTACCTCTCAAGCTTGAGCGCCGCTATCTGAGGAGTCGGGCGTGAGTGAGTGGGTGATTGGAAAATGAATCCGTAGAAGGAGTCAGCTGGATCTTTGAGTCGATTAGATTTTTAAAAAAGAAAAAGAAGAAGAAGAAGAAGAAGAAAGACTGGAGGTGTTTAGGAATTCCTCACGAGTGCCGTCTTCTGGTCGAGATTGTAGTTGGGGAATTTGCAGCGTCATGGCTGCTCAGATCGACGTATTTATCTGGCGGCATTGTTAGTCTTTTTGAATAGCAGGTTACACTGAGAGGGAGGAGCTAAGTAGAATGAAATGGATAGATGCAAGGCTCTCTCACCAATAGAAATTTGCTACCACCGGCAAGATGGGTCATTCATTATTGGGTAATGTTGCAGTCTCTGGAGACGTGCACAAGCTCCCTTCAATCTTGAGGAAGACATTTGAACCCCGTTGGGAGCTCGGGACAGGACATCTTTCAGGCCGCCCACAATATTATTGTTTCTCAGCAGCCGACATATTTAGCTCGAGCAGCTAGCGGTGATAGCCAGCGAGGGAGATACGCGATCCATCTTCCATCAGCAACCGAGAGGCAATGGGAAGTCCATACAGATTTGACAGTAGGGGGGGGTAATATGTGTGGAACAAGTATACAATAACTAAATATCTCTTATTTATCACTGAAGATGTATAAAGGAATGGGAGGAGAAGAAAAGATGGTTAGCTTGGCTGGTCTGTTATTTATTTAGCTCTTGCATCAGAGGCTAGTTAGTTAAATAAATAATATAAATATCCATAATAAAGGTCATAATATACATTTAGCACTTGAGTAGATCTAGGATAGATAATAATAGACAGAAGAACGAACTAGAACCTCGATATCGATCAAACATGGCCGGATTTCCATATTGTTGATGCTGGGAACTGGAAAATCCCCATATTAGGACTATTTATTCCGAAATGCAGATGCACTCACTGTACTCCGTACACTGTACACGCATCAATGGGCCCTTAGGTTGGGCTAAATACCCACCTAAATAGATAATAAACGCGCGGTTGCTAGAGACAGATTGTCTTTCCCCATATATTTAACTATTTACTGACATCAAGCTCCTTTGCGGGATCTGGGAGGCGAGTTGCTAGGGTTGGGCGAATAAATATTTAATCTATTTAATTTTAAATTGTAAATTTCATTGTTCCCCCCCCTCAATACTATTTATATTCTCGCTCCCGTCTTCTAAACATTCTATAGATTGAGGTCATACCTGGCGAATCTTATCCCCTATTTCTCCTCCTAATCTTCTATCTCATGGTTATCTCGTTTTCCTTTCTTTAAAGCGCAAATAGAACTTTTCCTTTCCTCCCCCTCACACCATGTCGTCCACCTCGAAGAACCAAGGGGTGGAGGAGATTCCGTCCCATGAGAACCCGGATGGGGCATGTATCATAATATTCGAAGACGCTATCACGGATGCCTTTACATATTGCATGGTGGCTGCTCTTCGCTAGCCTCTTTGATATACATATATCTACATCTATATATATATATATAGCAAAAATGGATCAAATAAATGTACGGCTAACAAAATGCAACCAGCCTCCTCCCTGCTCTAGCCTACACCTTAGACATGTACCATTGAACCAGTGAATTCTTTGGTGTCAACGAGGCTTTGTTCTCATCCGCTCTGGCCACCATGTTGTTCAGCATCTTGGGTGCTCAGCCCCTTACTATCGGCGGCATTACTGGCCTGATTTCACTCTTCAACGATACCATATACGACATCATTGCCCGGTACGATGTCTCCATTTACCCACAGTTCATCTGCTGGACTGCTATCTGGGCCCCTATCTTCCATTGGCTCACGGCGATTTGGAATACGTGCGATTATATGCGCTACGTAACCGTATTCTCTAGTGAGTCGTTTGGGATGTAATATTGGTATTATCTATATGATTATGAAGCTCTGATAAATTTCTATTTTTAACTTGTTTTATTTTAGCTCTTTCATAATTAGGGGATGCTGAGTGTTCTCTCTATTTAGTCAAGGGCGTGGAAGAACTTGTCAGCGAGTTTTCTTCTCGAGGCAGCATTGATGGATACCTCAATTGCACATTCGCCATTCTATACTTCGCCACCATCTATGTGCTGGAGAAATTAGGATCGAACACAATTTTCAACCTTCCTTCAGGCGCTTTTTGGACAACTACGCTTACTCGGTGAGCATTTATTGGACCTATCTTATTTTTATCAGTACACGGAAACCAGGGACTAATATCCTTTTCCAGAAAGCCAAAATCTTTTGGGTTAGCTTTGCGCATATCCCAGGACATTTGAGAGAGGCAAATATAGGCAAAGTACCCATTACAAAGGCCTTTCATCCTACCCAACCTCGTAGCAGGTTGATAGACTTCTGGGAACTGGACGTCAAATGGATCTTTGTCGCTATCCCCTTCAGGTTTTTAACAATGTTTCTCTTTTACTTCGATTATGCACCTTTACGTGCTACAGAACATCAGCAGCTTGACCTCCCAATCTCGGCAGTTCCTGTTGAAAAACTCAGGAGGCTTCCACTGGGATTTCTTTCTCCTTGGCTGCACAACCTTTGTTGCCGGTATCTTAGGTCTTTCAATGCCCAACGGGCTCGTTCCTCAGGTAAAACTAATTTTACATATCATCAAAATTACTCGCATTGCGTTTCCTTTTCCTTGATAATGCTAACAGGTGATAATCATAATCATGGATATAGGCACCGCTACATACGGATTCCCTGACTATTTACGAAACGGACATGGTCAAAATATCCACCTCTGAGGGCGAGGGCGCAGAAGTCAGGAGACCCATCGTGAAAGCTACTGCAGTGGTCGAGCAGCGGGTTTCTCACTTCTTCACGGGCCTGGCATTGATCGGAACCATGACTGGACCTTTACTTGTCGTCTTGCATAGTATGCCCGCGGCGGCTTTTGCTGGGGTCTTCTTTGTCGTTGGTGTAAGTTGTTTTTCCATATTCTTTATAACAGAACTTTCACGAAATCACATCACTTGCTAATATGTTCTTTTTCTTAGTGGGATCTATCGAATCCAATGGAATTGTAGAAAAGCTGGTTTTCCTTTTCAAGGAAAATAGGTTCATCCAGCGTGACGAGCGGATGCTCACTGTTAGGAGATGGAAAATAGCGTTGTATATTGGGCTTCAGCTTTTCGGTGTGCTATTCTGCGTTGCCGTTTCACAGACCATCGCGGCCATCGGTGAGTGCTCTCCCCCCATCAGCCAACCCCGATCTCCTGCGAGCAGAAGAGCAGTAGCTTATTTGTGGATATCCAGATTTTCCCGTCCTCATATGCCTTATAATACCCATGCATGCCGCGCTGATGCCCAAATGGTTCGCCCTGAAGGAACTGGAGGTGATGGATGATAAGGTGGTGCGCCCATAGTTATAATTATAGCTCGGAAAGTTGCACAATTAAGTCTCTACAACAATGATAACCCAAATGTTTGCCATAATCTGTGCTCCGTAATAACTCACTCAATGCAAAGAGATATTAACTCAGTCTAGACATGTTTATCGGTGTTGATATCGGGCTGGAAGATGCCTCGGCAGATTAACTAACCCGGCCCGAACAAGGTTAGCTTCGGGATCGGCCAACGCTCCCCGCAAAAAGGCCCTAGGAATTGCCGAAACCCTAACTGCGAATCCCTTCTTCATCGTTCTTCGCATCCAACCTCAACACGGGGTTTGTTTTCGCTCTCACGTTGCTAAACCACATTCCTTACGTCTATTGGGCTATTTGTTTCTATTCCTTCTGGTTTCTGCAGTATATTTGCGTGTTTACGTCTCCGGTTGTCTGTTTTCCTGTCAAAGTCTAGTAACAATAATGCCGGCAAAATCACCGTATCCTTTGTTAGACATACCAAATGTCGATCTATGGACTCTTCTGTTTGAAAATAAGGAGCGGCCTTTCCCTGATGACCAAGGTTTGTTGATTCTTCTTTGCTCTTGCCAGCTATGAATGTTTCACTCCAAATCGCACAGAACAACAGCACTTGGAGCTTCAACACATAGCCTTGACTAATCAACTTACCAATGTAACGTATACGCGTAGTGATATTCCAGGATGCCGACACCCTCCGATCATACACCTATGCCCAGGTGAAGTCCACAGCCCTTGAATTTGGAATGGGCCTCAAGGCTGCCTGGGACTGGAAAAAGGGCGATGTTCTAGCAATCATCTCGCCCAACAGCATCGACATGCCCCCCGTAATATGGGGGACCCACTGGGCCGGCGGCATCGTCTCCCCAGCCAACCCAGCATATACCGTAGATGAGCTGGCCTTCCAGCTCAAGGGGATAAAAGCCAAAGCGCTCGCTACCCAATTAGCGCTCGTGCCAACCGCCAAGGCCGCCGCGAAGCTGGCCGGTATTCCGGAAAACCGTATCATCTTGCTGGGTGATGCGCGGGATCCGAGTGCGAAGTTCAAGCATTTCACCTCTGTGCGGAATATATCTAAGGCTACAAGATATCGCAAGACACGCATCGACCCTGCGAAGGATCTGGCGTTTCTGTCATTTAGTTCGGGCACGACGGGCGTGCCCAAGGGGGTGATGCTGTCGCATCGGAATATTGTTTCGAATATCATGCAGTTTACAGCAGGAGAAGCGGGCAACCTGACCTGGCACAGCGATAAAGTGTTGGCGTTTTTACCATTCTTCCACATATACGGTAATTACGAAACTTCCTCCTCAATCCCCACAAAAATTTCTTCATCACCCCCAGCAGTAGCTGATTTACAAACCCAGGCCTGACGTGTCTGATCCACAAATCCATGTACACCGGCGTGCACATGGTCGTCATGTCCAAATTCGACATCGAAAAGTGGTGCGCCCACGTCCAAAATTTCCGCATCACCTTCTCCTACGTCGTACCCCCAGTCGTCGTTCTCCTCGCCAAACACCCGGCCATCGACAAATACAATCTCTCTTCCCTACGACTGCTGAACTGCGGCGCCGCCCCGCTCAGCCGCGAGCTCGTGGAGGCCATGTCCGCGCGCATCAAGACGGGTGTCAAGCAGGGCTACGGCCTTAGCGAGACCAGCCCTACAACCCACACGCAGGCGTGGGCTGATTGGGATAAATACATCGGCTCAGTAGGCCGCTTGCTACCCAACCAGGAAATCAAGTACATGACTTCGCCCGACGACGGGAGCGAGCCCGTCGAACTACCCATTGGGAAGACGGGGGAGATCTACATACGCGGCCCCAACGTGTTTCTGGGATACCTGAACAACCCGTCGGCGACGGCTGAGTGTCTTTCGCCCGACGGCTGGTTCCGAACGGGCGATGTCGGACACCAGGATGAACATGGTAATCTATACATCACCGATCGCGTCAAGGAGCTTATCAAGTACAAGGGTTTCCAGGTTGCGCCGGCAGAGCTTGAAGGCGTTCTTGTGAAGAACGAGGCGATTAGCGACGTTGCTGTCATTGGCATGGAGAGCGAAGAGCATGGCTCCGAGGTGCCGCTCGCGTATGTTGTGTTGAAAGACAAGGTGGCAGGAAACGAGGCTGCGGCAGAGGCGGAGAAGATCATGAAGTGGCTTGCGGATAAAGTGGCGCCGCATAAATGGCTGCGTGGAGGAGTGAAGTTCATTGATGAGATTCCTAAAAGCGCTAGCGGCAAGATTTTGAGACGTGTGCTGAAGGAGCGCGCGAAGGGAGATGCTGACGGCCCGGTGAAGGCGAAACTATAAAAAGCCAGTCTAGCTCTCGTTTGGATTTTTCATTCTTTTGACTCTCCTTCGGGCGACTTCAAATTCGGCCGCTGGCTTTTGACCCAAAGTTCCCTGTGCAGCTGTTAGATAGTAAAGATTCTTCATTCAGTACCCCCTACAGCTAGATCAAGTATCATCGTCTTCTTGTGTTTTCTCATCGAATGATACGAGTTATTTAAGGATTTAAAGATAACTTCCCCAAACACGTGTACGTACAATGAAATAACGAGAGGCCTGGCACAAAAAATATTAAAGTATCTAATTAAGAAAGTAAATCTAACTAAGATATAACTATTAATTTTGCAAAAAGATGTCTCCCTATTATCCAACTTCATCAATATTTATCCATAATAAAACGGAAAAAATGACCTCGTTCAGAGGTCAGATGAAGCTTTCCACCCATCTACAAAATTACATGTTCGCTTTCTCCCTCCCTCAAAACGAGGAAAATCTGTTCAAGTACCCCAAAATCACCCCAAATTTCCCTCTTTCTGCCCTTTCCTTCAAAGGTCGCTCATGGCTCGCAATAATTATGAACCTTAACCTCGCTGCAAAGCTTATGGGCTGGCTTGTGCGGGTAACCGTCGCAAAGGACATCGCACTCGGTACCTGGGGGGGTGAAAACAAGAAATTCATAGCCTGGGAATGGCAGGCGGAAATTCTTGTGATCATGGCTATAATGGCTAGACTTGTAGCCAGCGCGGCAGGCGCAGTAGTAGGAGTGGCCTGTGCCGATACAGGAAGTGGTTGGATGACAGCGATTTGCGCCTGAGAGGGGGTCACAGACAGGGCACCATGGGTGTTTGTCGTGCTCGTCATGCTTGTTGCACCACTTATTCCAGAGCTCCCAATCATACTTCTCATGAGAAGAGTCCCATTCGCAGTTGTAGAAGTCCTTGCACCACTTATTCCAGAGCTTCCAATCATACTTCTCATGAGAAGAGTCCCATTCGCAGTTGTAGAAGTCCTTGCACCACTTATTCCAGAGCTTCCAATCATACTTCTCATGAGAAGAGTCCCATTCGCAGTTGTAGAAGTCCTTGCACCACTTATTCCAGAGCTTCCAATCATACTTCTCATGAGAAGAGTCCCATTCGCAGTTGTAGAAGTCCTTGCACCACTTATCCCAGAGCTCCCAATCATACTTCTCATGAGAAGAGTCCCATTCGCAGTTGTAGGGATCCTTGCACCACTTATCCCAGAGCTCCCAATCATACTTCTCATGAGAGGAGTCCCATTCGCAGTTGTAGAAGTCCTTGCACCACTTATCCCAGAGCTTCCAATCATACTTCTCATGAGAAGAGTCCCATTCGCAGTTGTAGGGGTCCTTGCACCACTTATCCCAGAGCTCCCAATCATACTTCTCATGAGAAGAGTCCCATTCGCAGTTGTAGAAGTCCTTGCACCACTTATCCCAGAGCTCCCAATCATACTTCTCATGAGAAGAGTCCCATTCGCAGTTGTAGGGGTCCTTGCACCATTTATTCCAGAGCTCCCAATCATACTTCTCATGAGAAGAGTCCCATTCGCAGTTGTAGGGATCCTTGCACCACTTATCCCAGAGCTCCCAATCATACTTCTCATGAGAGGAGTCCCATTCGCAGTTGTAGGGATCCTTGCACCATTTATTCCAGAGGTCCCAATCATACTTCTCATGAAACTTGTCCCAGTCACAGTTGTAGAAGTCCTTGCACCACTTATCCCAGAGCTCCCAATCATACTTCTCATGAGAAGAGTCCCATTCGCAGTTGTAGGGATCCTTGCACCACTTATCCCAGAGCTCCCAATCATACTTCTCATGAGAGGAGTCCCATTCGCAGTTGTAGAAGTCCTTGCACCACTTATCCCAGAGCTTCCAATCATACTTCTCATGAAACTTGTCCCAGTCACAGTTGTAGGAGTCCTTGCACCATTTATCCCAGAGCTCCCAATCATACTTCTCATGAAACTTGTCCCAGTCACAGTTGTAGGAGTCCTTGCACCACTTATTCCAGAGGTCCCAATCATACTTCTCATGAAACTTGTCCCAGTCACAGTTGTAGGAGTCCTTGCACCATTTATCCCAGAGCTCCCAATCATACTTCTCATGAAACTTGTCCCAGTCACAGTTGTAGGAGTCCTTGCACCATTTATCCCAGAGCTCCCAATCATACTTCTCATGAGAAGAGTCCCATTCGCAGTTGTAGAAGTCCTTGCACCACTTATCCCAGAGCTCCCAATCATACTTCTCATGAGAAGAGTCCCATTCGCAGTTGTAGGGATCCTTGCACCACTTATCCCAGAGCTCCCAATCATACTTCTCATGAGAGGAGTCCCATTCGCAGTTGTAGGGATCCTTGCACCATTTATTCCAGAGCTCCCAATCATACTTCTCATGAAACTTGTCCCAGTCACAGTTGTAGGAGTCCTTGCACCACTTATCCCAGAGCTTCCAATCATACTTCTCATGAGAAGAGTCCCATTCGCAGTTGTAGAGATCCTTGCACCACTTATCCCAGAGCTCCCAATCATACTTCTCATGAGAGGAGTCCCATTCGCAGTTGTAGGGATCCTTGCACCACTTATTCCAGAGGTCCCAATCATACTTCTCATGAGAGGAGTCCCAGTCGCAGTTGTAGGGGTCCTTGCACCACTTATCCCAGAGCTCCCAATCATACTTCTCATGAGAAGAGTCCCAGTCACAGTTGTAGGGGTCCTTGCACCACTTATTCCAGAGGTCCCAATCATACTTCTCATGAGAAGAGTCCCATTCACAGTTGTAGGGGTTATTAGTGCACAAGAGGTCCCATAGATGCGAGTCATAGCCTGGATATGAGACGTCCCAATCACAGTCATAGAAGTGATGGCCATTCCCACTGCACAACTGATTCCAGAGATCCCAGTCACACTTGTAGGGATCCTTGTCATAACTACTGCACCAAAGATTCCAGAGGGTCAAGTCATATTCCTTATGAGATGAGTCCCATTCGCAGTTGTAGGGGTACTTGTCATAGTCATTGCACCAATGACTCCAGAGGCCCCAATCAAACTTCTCATGAGAAGAGTCCCAGTCGCAGTTGTAAGGGTCCTTGCACCATTTATTCCAGAGCCCCCAATCATACTTCTCATGAGAAGAGTCCCATTCGCAGTTGTAGAAGTCCTTGCACCATTTATTCCAGAGCCCCCAATCATACTTCTCATGAGAAGAGTCCCATTCGCAGTTGTAGGAATCCTTGCACCACTTATTCCAGAGCTCCCAATCATACTTCTCATGAGAAGAGTCCCATTCGCAGTTGTAGGGGTCCTTGCACCATTTATTCCAGAGCTCCCAATCATACTTCTCATGAGAAGAGTCCCATTCGCAGTTGTAGGGGTCCTTGCACCATTTATTCCAGAGCTCCCAATCATACTTCTCATGAGAAGAGTCCCATTCGCAGTTGTAGGGGTCCTTGTCATGCGACCCGCACCAATACTGCCAGAGAGGCCAGTCATATTTTTCATGATCGTTGTCCCACTTACAGTCGTAGAAGTGCCTGCCATGCCCACTGCACCACTTAAACCAGAGTGGCCAGCTATAGTCCTCATGTGAGGAGTCCAATTCACAGTCATAGGGGTGATGACCATTACCACACAAGTAGTCATGGAGATACCAGCTGTAGCTCACATGTGATGTGGGCCAGTCACAGTCATACAAGTGCTTGCCAGGTCCAGTGCACAATGACTTAAAGAGCCCCGCGTCATACTTCAAATGTGACTCATCCAATTCACAGTTGTAGTGAACCTTGGTATCGCACCAATATTTCCAGAGGCGGTAGTTATAATTAGGATGAGTGAGGCCCCAGCCACAGTCATAGAAGTGCTTGTGACCATCCCCATTGCACCACTGATCCCAGAGGTGCCAGTCACACTTGGGGTGACGGAAGTGCTCGCTATACTTGACATTCACGGGGTACTTGTCGTCGCGAGGGTAGCGTGCTCCTCCTGGGTGGGCAGCGACGAGTGAGGAGCTGACTAGGAGGAGGATGGAGGAAACGGATTTGATGTCCGGCATTCTCCCGGTAGGTAGCTCCGGAACCGGGCAATTAGGAAAGATCGGATTATCGCGAGTCGATTAGGGAATGAATGGAGAGCTTTTCCGGTTAAAAAACATGCAATTAAAAAAAAAAAAAGTATTTGTAAAAGTTAGACTTAAAAAATGAACGAATGACTGGGCGCTTGAGAGAATAGAAGAAAAAGGAGCAAGACGAGAGCGCATCCGCATCCTTTATATCTTTCTCAAGCCTATCGGCGGCCAGGTCCCAATCTCACTCCAGCATAGTGTATGCCGTCTTCCTGGAGGATACTTTCAAAGTCGGTCCATTGTCTCATCGCAAGCCGGCTAGCTGATACCTACAACAGAAACATTGGCAAGAGCCTAAGCCAAAACGGAACAATATATGACGTCTATCCACACAATGTGCCGAATCAATAATGGACAGCGTGTTCAGAATGTTCTCAGATCGCACGAAGTTGGAGTAGAACATTATCGGATAGGGGTAGTAAGGTAAAGCTGCAACTTGGCCTCTTATCGAAACATCTGAATCGAGCCTAGATCATTTCTCTGTCGTCACATAAGAGGGCTATACATAGCTTCAAATTTTCGATATCTTGAACACTCGGTAGAGGAAAATACCGAAAACGGGGCAGAGACAAACAATTTTCAGGGGCGAGAAAAAGGGGATGAAAAGACAACCTTAGGTTGCTGATTCCATAAGTCAGGGCATAAAGTTAAACATTGACCCGTAAAGCAGGCGCAGGAGAGGTAAAATTGGCAACTTGGATAATGCGTGAATACAATAATTCTGACATTTTCCGATTCTCGATTTCGCCTGGGCTCTGTTGTCTTGAATGAATCAAGGTGCAGCAGCACAATACTTCCAGGTTCAGCTGACATAGAGGAAATATACGACCCGTACTCTCTTGAGAAAAGTAGCCAGGGGTAGGGAGTACAGTACATAGTTAGTAGTAGGCGGATTTTGCACCCATCCTCTCTTTCAACGGCATTTGCCAAGCAGATTCACCCTTTTGAAGTTACTCCGTAGCGTATAACTACCCAGCCACTTCTGTTTTTGTGTTTTTATGACTTGATGGTGGTTAATTAAGAATTCTTTTGCAAAATACGCGTCGTGGTGAATTCGTGAAGTCGTTGAAGTGGTTGAGTTTGTCTGGAATATTCGACCAGGGTCTATCCTTGCGAATATTTTAAGGAAGTGGAGACATGCAATCTGGATGCAGTTTTTAGGGCCTGTTCGGTGCGTCCGTACTTTTTGAACGCAATAGTGGATCTCATTAAAAATAGTGTATTTACCAATTATTAGTAGCAAGCCGGCGTTGTGCCACCACACTATTCCACTGCTCTGAGATGGAGAAAGGAAGCTCACAAAAATGTGTTCTTTTTGAACTGACTCTGGACTCTGTTCAAAAAGAATGTGTTTTTATAAGCTTTCTTCTAATCAATATTAGTTAACTATCTTCACTATGAATGCTATTCTACACTATTCTACACTATATTGCCTCTAAAAGTGCTATTCTACACTATCACACACTGTTGAAGTTAAATACTGCTTATTCATAAGATCTTGACAAGAGATACAAGTACAGCCACTCAATCCACTAACATCTGATCATTTTCATCTGTACTTTGTAAAAAGCAGCTGTATTATTAGTACAGACACTCTGCCCATTGAACAGTCATGAGATTGGGGCTGTACTTTTTAAAAAAAGTGGAGATCCATACAAAAAGAACGAGTACACACGGACGCACCGAACAGGCCCTTAGTGTCTTGTTGTAAGTTACGGAGGGCGCTATCAAAAGAATTGCGCCGCTCAGATTCAATTGATACAGCTAACAAATACCACTATGTTTTAATGAGTAATTATATTTAGCTTCTAATCACCCCGCATTCTATTTATATGAGATTGTCTGGCTACAAGAGCTCTCATAGTGGCTCTTAAATCACCCTATTTTGACAAGTCAAATGCTGAAATCATGGAAATCACCCAGATCTCAAAGAGTCAAATCAACTGTATATATAAATATACAATTGAATGTGGATTTAATCCTGGACTGTCACATATTATACTTCATAATAAATGACTTAGAGATACTCTCAAATCTGGCTGAATAACTCAAGAAAGTAGTAGTATTAAAGATACTATTCTTACAAAAATTTAATATGATCAATAAAGATTATAGAGTTGAAAGATGATAATGAATATAGAGAAGAAAGACAGTATGAGTAGATGAAGAAATAGAATACTCATCTGACTGTGAGATGAGATTGACAGACAGACAGATTATACATTAAAAAGATAGCAGTGAAGATAATGAATAATCAAGAACTAAATATTCAGTATAAATTACAGTGTCAATTTCTGCCAAGATTTGTGGCACTGTCTAGCTGCCTTTTGCCGGCGCAATTCTTTTGATAGCACCCTCCGTAGTTATCGAATCCAAGGGGTTTTCGCATCGAGATGAGAGATCTCTTGTTAACATTTTGCGGTTTCTCAGGAAACTCAGCCACTTTGCTCAGAGTTTGATTGAACTAAATAAATAATAATAAATTGGTTAACTATGTACTCCGTACTCCGTAATGCTTTACATTTATTTTTTTTCTAGAATTTTTCTCAGACAGTTATTAAACTGTTTTTGTTGGCCGGATGCTCTATATGAGGCCACGTGACCCACACACCTATCTTTAAACCCGATGAACTTATTTCTTTAAGGGCTTAGTAGTCCAAATCTCAACAACGCAGCGGAAATCGATCTAGTGCGAATAAACCAATGTTTTTACCTAAGAAAACAAAGAAAAGAAAAAGAAAAGGAAAAAGAAAAACAGAAACGTCAAAGCGTCCACCGGATTTTGAGTAAATAATAATGTGTGGCACAATAAGTTACATATTGGCTTTTTTGTTCACAGCATCAGAAACCTAGCAAGTTGGCATGTACTGTCATTGAGAGCCTGCCTGCCCTTGTATCAACCGATCTCGCTTCCAGTGAAGCCTTCGGGGTAACACGGAACCTTTCCTCGACGCGCACGTCGAATACTTTTTCATTATATTTTTTGCGTTTTCTTTTCCCTTATGGTTTTAAGACAAACAATGCCCGTGTCTTGGAAGGACCGAGTCGTCGAAGCCTACTTGCTCATGTATGCAGCGTATGCGGTCTATCTCACGACCGAATAACCGATACATCCATTTGTATGTACATGTACAGTACATGTAGCTGCTCATGTGGACTTGTTTTGCTCTTCTTTGCCGCGCATTCCAGGAAAGTGCTTTTCGTTTTTGTTGGCCGGTTTTGTCTGCACTCTTCTTCCGTTTCAATTTCCCGCAACTCGTCGCGGCTGAGGCCAAACCCTCGTGACGGGGGTAATATTCGGAACGATTTTTCCAACCCCTTCACACATGACTCGGAGGTTTGCAGCACTGCTCTTTCAAGTTCCATATTGAAATCCCGCCGCTTGTTCGTATTCTCTGGCGATGTGGGACAAAAGTTCTAAATGCCTGTTGAAATGGTGCTCTGATATAAATGGCTTGTGCTCTTCGATTGTTGAATTGTGGGAACAGTTAGACACGCCACGCCTTCGTATCAGGTCCTCCATCATCAATGTCGATTCATCTCCCTCTTTCATGCCACAGTTATTGAAATAGGTGTTCAAGATCAGTACATACATATGTATGGAGTAGTATGGGGTAGATAGTGGTGATTTGAGAGGATGTGTGTCGTTGAAGTCGTTTTGTCTCCACCAAGGCCATCATCTCAATTCCCTTGGTTAAAGCTGCTTTCTAAGATTCCGCCAAGTCAGCAAACTGATGTCAGATAAGAAACCACTCAAAAATCTAGCAAGAAGTTGGCATGATGAAATTTTGGTCTAATAATTTCAGGGGTTAAGCTTCAAGGGTGAGAAGCAAAAAGAAAAAATATAAAATATAAAAAAAATTCTTGACGTTCTTAAAATATTCTTCCTGCCATGTATCAACAACGCCCATGCCAATATTCATAAAAGAAACCAACACCTATTGCATACCTGACCTTGCGTGTGACACGAGAAGCATTTGAAGCAAAATAGAACAAATCAGATACATTAGTATAAACGTGATATCAGTGACACCGAAATTTACAAGGAACAACATTCGGGGATATTCCTCCATAACAGAAGTGCCGCTTTTCCCCGCTGTTCTTCCACAAACGTGTATTCGATGCTCTCATATCATATTCATAATCTCGTCGTCATCGTCGATCTCAACAAAAACGAGGCGCGTTCCATTGCTAATAATTTGCCAGACCTAGAAAGCGGGAAGGAGAAGTGTGAGTAGAATACGGGATCTAGAATAAGGACGCGAGCAAGGGAAACAAGAAAACGCACATTTAGCTTTGCATATTCCTCAATGGTCTGGCTCAGTTGATCATCCGTGAAACCCTTCGCGAGGACCCTTTCTCTTACTCTCCGCATGCTCAGCTCCCCTTCATTCCCATCTTCCACGGCCGCGGCACCACTCTCTCGCATACCCCTGATGAGATTGTAGATCTTGCTCATGGGGCTCTGATCATCACCTCCTTGGGAATCATGATATAAGCTCGCCTTGCTCACCGCGGTTAGACGGAGGGCCTCATCCACATCTTCTGTGATTACTTCCTCGCTGAATCGCAGGCGGGCAAGAGCTTGTGACAGACGAAGTATGCCTAGCAGTGTACGTGGAGACGTATGTGAGAATTGTTTTTTGTTGGCCTCGTCACGTTTTTGTTCCTGGCGAAGCCGAACGTAGGAGCCAACCATGTACTCGGATACTCGCTTGGGGACATTGGGGCGGAAGGTACGCGCTTTGGCGATATATTGTCGGACTTCGTGGGGTGTGAAGACCACGTTATTGTCGTCTGTTTCGGGATGCTTGTTGTGCATATGAACGTATGCGACGTGGTTAGCAAGCTCCTCATCAGCATCACGAGAAGGAGTATCCAGCATCAAGAAAAGGACATCAAATCGAGAGAGAAGGGCCGCTGGGAGGTTAATGTTTTCAACGGGTGATATACGCGGGTTATATCGGCCATAGAGGGGATTGGCCGCTGCAAGAATTGAAGTACGAGCATTGAGAGTGGTTGAAATTCCCGCTTTGGAAATGGATATCGTTTGCTGTTCCATGACCTCATGAATTGCAGTCCGGTCACCATCGTCCATTTTATCGAATTCGTCAATACAACATATACCATTGTCCGCTAAGACCAAAGCACCCCCCTCTAGCACCATCTCATCTGTAACTGGATCCCGCATCACCGCTGCTGTAAGGCCCACACCACTACTTCCGCGACCAGTAGTATAAACACCGCGGGGAGCAACCTTAGTGATATATTTCAATAGCTGAGATTTGGCAACACCGGGATCACCCATAAGACAGATATTAATGTCACCACGAATACGCATTCCATCACCCATCTCCTTGGTGACTCCTCCAATCAAAAGTAGAAGCAGCGCCTTTTTCACGTCAAGATGACCGTAGATTTCAGGTGCTATGGATCGCGAGAGGTATTCGTACATGTTTCCTGAACTTTGATGTTGAGTAATTTTTTGGAGGGCTCGCGAGTCCAGGACAAGATTCTCATAGGCCTTTTTATGCTGGGTTATGTGCTGGGCTTCAAGATAAGTATCTGTAAGCAGGCCGGCTTTGATGGCCCTAAATCCAGTGTAAGGTATCGGGAGGAAGATGCCAGAAATATCAACCACATCACCAGGATTAACTTGTCGTACAAGACTTCCATTACAGTAGACCGTTAGGGTGCGCGGAATGTGGCCAACGGGAACTTGATCTGCCATTTCCTGAATCTTAATTTCTTGGAATGGAATGAATTTTGAAGCCCTGGTAGAAAGAAATAGTTGGCCCTTGGTGTTATTCTGTGTGCATTCAACAGACGGGCACTCAAAAAGGGGCGCAAATTGCTTTGTGACAACAGGTTGGAAAACTTCTGATCCGCAACGATCGCAAGAGTAGGCGTTTATTTTGACCGCAGGCTTGACGTCTGAAACTCTTGTCGTAATGCCTCGCACAGTAATAAGGTGGCCAAGGTGTTCACCACGAACATGGCGAACGGCCATTGCCTTGCTTCGATCAGTGCTCGAGCCTGAAGCGGTCAATGGCTTGAAGGTCAGGGTATAGCGGCGAGTCAGTTCAGGAGGGAAAATTGAGGGTGGCATGCCAGCTTCAGAATCGGGATCTGCTTCAGCTGCCAGGGTCATTGTTTCGTTTCTTCGCTCTCGTTGAGACATGATTATATCAAGGACGTCATCTTTAAATCTGCGGAAAGAATTCAATTTAGGCATGCTTCTATCTCGAATTTGGCGCAAGAACGAGATTAGACGAATATAACTCACGAGACTTCTCTGGTCTCCTTGGGCATTATTTCGTCAACCGCATCAGAGAATACATCAATGTATCGCTTCGCATTACCTTCGATGTTGTCGAGGATGTTTGAATTAGGGCCATCGGGCAGGGATTTGACATACTATAATTACCTCAGTGTTAGAAAGGTTAATGGAGAGAACATTGCCCAAAGTGCATCCTACTGTGTCTAGATCATCTAATTCTATAAGAATATTGGACCTTGTCCGATCCGCAACTTCTTGCAGCATCTGCATATACTTCAATTTCGGTCCCTTTGATCGCGTAGTTCTTGTGCGTTGACCATCGACATCGTCCATGAAATCGTACTCGTCGCTCATGACATCGCCGTCAATATGAAGGCCTTCGATTGCTTCGGTGGCCGCGGCCTCTGAAGCTGATTCGAAGCTCTTAAAAGTCTCAAGGAAGTCCTTGAAAAGCTCTTGCTGGACCGCATACTTGACGGGTGCGCGATACTGGAGTAGTGCCATGGCGGAGGATTCACTACTGAAAAAAAGGACAAAACGGAAGTAGGTAGGAGATACGAAGAGGGAAAAGTGGTTTCTGCGGCTTTAGCGGCAATTTATTCGAGTTGAGAGAGCGCCAGTGTAGTTGAAACAGAGGATGGTTTCTGTTGGGTTGCCGCAGTTCGTTGCAATTGAAGAATTAGAGGTTGAAGAGCGCGTTTACGCGACGCGGACGCGTTTAAGAACCACCTAACCCATGTTGGAACTAGCGTGGTTCGGGACGGATTATGTCTCGGCCCGACACTCGGCAACGCATGCTCGTCACAAAGCCGAAGAAACGTCGGAGCAACTTCACCCAAGTATTTCAATTTCTATGCCGGTTAAACAGCTACAACGGTTGTAACTTTTTGCTATAGCTTCTTTTCCGCTCCATTAGGGGGTACTTCATTCTTGATAAATGCATAATCGAGGGGAAGGTCAATTTTTGATAATTGTCCACCATGGCTCCTGGTAACAGCAAGACATCCACCATCGCGGAGGTAGCCCTTGTGCCGCTCAAGAACTGCCTTGTTAACTTGCCGCCGTCGCTGGTGTCGTTGTTAGTGAACGCGGATACGGTAAGGATATTGAATGCCAGGTTCTACGTCTAGTAATCTAATGATTTTCGTTTCGCAGCCTGCCCAAAATGTCGTTGTCGAGCTTCAATATCGCCCCACCTCTGGCGCATCGAATTCCCATTCGAATGTCGGCCAGTCGCAAAAATCCTCGTTCGTTGGCTGGACAGGCATGCCAAGTAAACGAAGACTTGCCCCTGTAGTCAGCAGAGACGGAATAAGCGGTGCAAGAGGTTCCTCGAGGGAGCAGGAGATCCCGACAGTTGAACTTGATTCTACTTTCGCAAGAGTTTTGGGTTTGAGTGATGGCCAGCGGGTAATTACCATGCACAAGCCCAAAAATCTAACATCACTCTACTAATTTCCCGATAGGTCGGCCTGTTACTGCACATCGACCCCCCGGTGGCGCACACCGTCAATATTGAGCCTTTAACACCGGCTGATTGGGAGAGTAGGTCTTGGAGCTCCCCGGATCTCCAACCACGCAACGCTAGCTAACCACCAATAGTTATTGAATTGCATGCCACCTTCCTAGAACTTAATCTCCTGTCTCAAATTCGTGCCCTTCCAAACCCTGCTTATAGCGGTCCTACAGCTGGGCAGCTGCCGCATTCCCATCCGCTCACTTTACACCTGTCACCCACCTCAACGGCCAATATTACCATCACATCCCTGACACCACCTGTGCCAACTACCTCTCCATTTGCCAAAATCGCACCCGATGCTGAAGTTATAGTTGCTCCAAAAGTCCGCACAAAATCCAACAGGCATTCACGCAGCGAAAATAGAAGCACTACCAGCGCCGGTCGGAAGAGCGTAAGCGGCCGTAGCAGTGGGAGCACTGTCCGCCCAAAAAGTAGCCATTCCGATTCCGCGTCGCGTGGCGCAGTTTATCTTCGAGGCGTGGATCGGCGCCTTGCGCAGGATTGGTTTGATGAGGATCCGGAGACCCAGAAAAATGAAGGGTTTAGGATATGGGTTGATCGAGGCATCCTTTCGAAGAATGAGTTCCGTGGAACAGTGTGGGCATGCGTTTCAATTGTTACCCCGGCGGGATTACTCCCACCTATCGATCCACAACAACAGCAGCAGCAAAAAGATCTGGAGTCTTCCGATGCAGGAAAGCCCTCGAAGAAAATTGTAGCCAGGGTTCTCCCATGGGATGAGAGTCCTGATTGCCAACATGTCGCTCTCTCATCCAGTCTCTGCTCTGCGCTTGGATCCGACGGAATGGTCGGAGGAATTGTTCGCGTTGAGGCCGCTCCGCCCCAAATTCAGCAATCTTCACTGAAATCAGTTAAACTTTTCCCTTTTACATCTGAATCATCGAAGAAGAAGGATGGATTGAAATTTGGGGGTGATTCTTCTGCTTACCGGGATGCTTTGAGTGAACGAATCAAGTTGTTATACGGCAGTCTAGGTTCTGATTCAGGTATTTTAGCGGGCCCGGTAACCGACGGTATGATTTTGCCCAAACTTGACAACCAAACCCCGCCCTTCGAGTTCGAAGGGGGAATTGTTCGCTTCGACCCTCCTTTAAACCCGCAATCAGAGGCTGGTAGGGTAGCATTTGACTGGCTGCTCGGCTCGGAATGTAGAGCGAACTTGGATATTCAGCCAGAAATACCAAAACCGCAGGACGGGGTCCCTTCGACCGCTCCCTCGACAGATCCGATCCCGGACAAGGCACCCAAGATGGTGGGGATAGATCCAATTATCGAAACCTGTATCTCAAACCTTACTCGATCATCCTCGATTCTTCTCACCGGTGGGCTGGGTGCTGGCAAAACATCTTTATGTCACTTGTTGGCCTACAAATTACGCGAGGATTACCTTTTTAATGTATCGTACTTCTGTTGCCGCAAGCTGGCGACAGATCAAACACGCATCTCTACAATTAAGGAAACATTCCATCGACTTTTCCTCTCGGCATCCTGGTGTGCTAGGCAAGGTGGCCAGTCAATCGTGATTTTAGATGACCTGGATCGTCTCTGTCCGGTAGAAACTGAGCTTCAGGTTGGCGGTGAAAACGGAAGGAGCCGCCAACTTAGCGAGATTGTCTGTTCAACTGTTCGAGAATTTTGGTCGGCCAGCTCTTCTGTCGTTTTACTCGCAACGGCACAGGCGAAGGAGTCCCTCAATAATGTTATTGTTGGAGGCCATGTTGTACGGGAAATTGTTAGTTTGAAGGCGCCAAACAAGGATGGGAGAAGAATGGTGCTGGAAAAATTAATGGCAGCAGACGAACCAGTTCCAGGGCTCCAGACTGCGGCCAATGGTCATGTAAGGAGCCCAAGCTCTTCCACCCAGGGCACCTGGCTTGACCCCTCAGATCCTGGTAGCCGACCAGGTTCAACGGGACAATCTGATGGTTTTGTTCTTAGCCGAGACCTAGATTTCCTTGACTTAGCTGGGAAGACAGACGGATACATGCCCGGCGACCTCGTCCTATTAACTACTCGTGCAAGAAACGAAGCCTTGATCCGTTCGGTTCAAGATACGTTATCCACATCCACGACTATCACCTTAGGCACGGAAGATTTCGCTCGCGCACTCAAGGGCTTCACACCCGCCTCTCTCCGTAACGTCACACTGACATCCTCTTCAACCACTTTTGCGTCCATTGGAGGACTGCATGAAACTAGAAAAACGCTCCTTGAAACCTTGCAATATCCCACAACATATGCGCCAATATTTGCTCAATGCCCACTCCGGCTACGCTCTGGTCTTTTGCTATACGGGTTCCCAGGCTGCGGGAAAACACTTCTCGCAAGTGCGGTGGCTGGTGAATGCGGACTTAACTTCATCAGCGTAAAGGGTCCCGAGATCCTCAACAAATATATCGGTGCAAGTGAAAAGAGCGTCCGCGACCTATTCGAGAGAGCGGAGGCTGCTAGGCCTTGCGTTCTTTTCTTCGATGAATTTGACAGTATCGCGCCAAAGCGGGGTCATGACTCTACCGGGGTTACTGACAGAGTGGTCAACCAGCTTCTTACCCAGATGGACGGAGCGGAAGGCCTTTCAGGGGTATATGTCCTGGCAGCTACGTCTCGACCGGACCTCATCGATCCCGCATTGCTCCGGCCCGGACGCCTCGATAAGTCACTCCTGTGTGACATACCTTCCCACTCAGATCGAGTGGATATCATCCAGGCATTGAGCAAACAGCTTAAACTTAGCGACGAAGTGATGGAGCGTGTCGGGGAAATTGCAGATCGAACTCAAGGATACTCTGGCGCTGACCTGCAGGCGGTTGTTTACAACGCACATCTCGAAGCCATCCACGACGCGCTGGGCGACCGATCCTCCGACTCCACTAGCCCACAGAATAAATCGAAAGCACAAGCAATTACAAACGGCGTAAATCCAGGCGTCAATGGCACCAGCACCGGCCCAGAAAAATCTGCCAGTAAATCCTTCATACAGTTCCTCTACTCCTCGGACGAACATGCCACAGCGGTAGCATCTCGGAATCGCCCAACCAACAACACCTCACCCTCCCTACCACCCCCCGCTGTCGTGGCTGCGAGACTCGACGCGATTAAACAAGACCGCAGACGCCAACGCCAACTGGAACGGGAGGCATCGGATCCATCAGCTGATGCAGCCACAAACGGTCCCAATGGCGTCGCTGATGCGTATAATGACGCTAGTAATGATATCCATATCTGCTGGCCGCACATAGAACGATCTCTCGCAACCACTCGTTGTTCGATTAGTGACGTGGAGCGTAAGCGCCTCGAGGCTATTTATAGAGAGTTTGTTGTTGGGAGGAATGGGGAGATGCCTACTGGCGAGGGTGGACGGGATATTGGAGGAAGGACGAGTTTGATGTGATGCTTTTTTGGCCGTGTCTTTGTGTATTGTATATATCATTACAGCATTTCTTCACTTCTGCTGTATATCCACGTTCTTGCATTGCTTGTTGGTGTACGGAGGATAGTCAGATGCTGTATTTCTTTGTACTCGTTGTCGACTTAGAGATAGACTCGTTTTGGATATCATATCGCTTATAGCGCTTTTCTTCTCTCTTTCAGCTTGGGACTGAGGCCTAATTCTTTTGTATTTTGTTTCCCTAGCACCACCAACTTGATGGCAGGTATGATGATTGCACATTCCAATCCCTAATTGAGTAATTAATACGGCTACACAATAATCCCTACATCTTGACTGACTGACACAATCCAATCCACTGTCCAGCCAAAACCTGATGAGTATAAAATATACCCTTACTCCGTTCCTGTTTCCAACTCCCCAGCCCCATCAACCAATCTGAGTTCATCCCCGAACTTCTCATTGTTCCTAATGCCCAACCCTTTCATCCCACTAATCAACACCTCACGAAGCCGGATCGATAGAACGGTGTCATAGTCCGGATCCGTCGCTGGGCTTTCTCCATCGAACGTCAACTCCTCATATAAAGAAGCCGGAAGTTCAAAACCGGAAATATTCCGTGTAATGGATCGCAGAGTTTCCTTTTCCAGGTACCCTCCTGACCCCGACAACGGCCACAAGTCATATATAGTGGTCGTCTCAATCTTTTCAGCCCACTCTACGTTCCCCTGAATCTTGGCTTGGAGATAAGTCATGATGAAACGGAAGAAGAGGAATCGAGTTGCGGGTCGGTTTGAGCTAGTCAGGAAGGCCAGCGGCTTACCATCCAGTTCCTGCCGTTGTAGTATCAGCAGCAGAATGTATCAGATGGCCGATTGCATACACTTCAGGATAACAGTTGAACTTACGTTCCATCTTGACGCATGGCCTGTCAAGTCGCGACTGAAAATACGATCCCGGTACGAATCATTTGCCAAAACACATCTCCACTCACTTGGGGTTGCTGCGTTTTCCGCCGGCATGTTTGGCACTATAGCGATCGCTCCCGCATCCATTGCCTCTTCAATCTTCGCATGTAGCGTAATCCCTAAAAGATGAACACCATTTATTTTAGCAAAAATCCCATACCTACGGATTGTTCCCTCTCACCATTCTTGCGATCCTCTACCGCCATATCACTATCGCCGAAGAGATACGCTAGTTCATCTCCTCTCATCCCTCTCGGCACAAGATGCGTCACTTTCACACTCCCTGCCTCCCACCAGCCCGTAACATGACAGTACATCTGGTACTCCCCTCCTTCCAGCCGCGATGCAGCGTGATACGCCAAAACATCACGACGGAACTTCGCCAGCCTGAGACCCACATGCCTTCCTGTTATCTCGTCAGACATAGACTTGGAATGTAGAGCCGCCGCGTATGCTCTCTCTAGCAGCGAAAGGGCTTGTAGTTGCTGGTCATCGTCCGCGTCTGCCTCATCTGCCTCTTTATCAGCCTTTATCCCCCCACGGCGCTTCGGGGCCAGTTCATCTTCTAGGTCCTGCTTCATAGCTCTTTGCTGACGGGAAAGGATCCGGAATTCTTCGACGAGTGGGCGACATCTACGATCCACGGAGACCATTTCATCCAGATAATCCTTTTCGCTTAAGGGCTTCTTCTCGACCAATGCCTGGCGGAGACTGTCCTGGTAACATCTGAAATAATCCAGTTCCGTGCGGCATTGTTGGAGTTTAAATTTGAGAATATCGGGTACGCTCGAAGTTGTGCCGCAAAGTTGTATCATTGTTGACGGGAGGAAGATTAAATTGGCTCGTTTATGCTCAAGAGCAGTTGGGCTTGTGGGAGCGAGTAGTGATGCGTGTCTTTCTGGTATTGTCGGGGCGGTGAGGGGGATGGGACGGGGGGTTTGCCTTGGGTGAGATGAAGAAGCCCCCGATGGAATCATTGAAGTTGCCATATTGAAGTATGTTTTTAGTAAAGGTATATGTATATGCGCAACTACCAACGGGAAAAAAAAGAGGAACTGGGGCTGAAAAGAGAGTAGTTCTTTATCCACGCTGCAACGGCGAGGACCACCCTTTCCTTTCGGAGGTCAGGAAGTCAAATCTCAGTTGTACGGGAAAAGCCATAGTTACTATCGATTACTTGCGCGGGGAAGATCACGCAGGTGTGGCCAGATCCCAGCAGTGACGGTGTTGCAACACATTATGGTGATAGTTGTGTAATAGGCCAGACTTTCTCTCAGTAGTCGTGTAATATGGAATGCGTAACAGCTCTTCTAAACTCGTCTTCGAATGAAAGAGGGCATGCCGTGATCAAAGAGGATAAAAGTTAAACAGTAGTGACAAATTTTGTCGATAGGAAAGCGATCAAACCCGGGGACACCAACTTCTATTTTTTAAACCTTAAGAGTGATAATAATGCAGAGGAAAAATGTACTGTATAGCATAATACCGAACACGATAAAGGGAGTAACACAAAGACAGCGATCTGGTCTAGGGATAGCAATCCTGGTCCGAGTATATCCAGAGAAATGCTCTCAAAGGTCAAACAGAAATGAAATGGAATAGGCAACAGAAAGGAAATAATATCGTAATAGTAAATAAAATATAAGTAGAATACACGACGAACCTCGAAATGAACCGGAATCCGTCATGTTGTATAACGGCGGAACGAATTTCAATTTATTGAAGAAGAGTTCAGTTCGCAGCCGGCATAGGAATTGGAGGCGGTACTCTCACTCTCTTTCCCAACTTCTCTAGCTCACCGACAATCCCCATTCCAGAGAGTGTCCATTTCTCACTAACGAATTCTTCGGTGACCTTTTCTCTCAGGATGCCGCTGAGCGCAAAGTATTCAAGCAAGCCCTTCGAATCTTTCTTACCTAGACCAGTGAGCCTTTGCGTCGTCAGATCTTTTGCATCATCTAGTAAGGCGAGGACTCGTGAGTCAGGGCGGCGGTATGGATCAGCGGTAGGGAATTCCGGCGAGTCTGCTGGGATGCCAGAGGTGCGAGCAGCGAGTTGTTTGAGCAAGATGTCGAATGTGTAGATATTTGGTGTATTTGAGGTAGATGTAGAGTAGAGGAGGAGCCCGCCGTTGGGGAGCGTTGGAGAGGAGCGATCTGACGATAGCAGGGAAAGGAAATGGTTGACCAGTGCGAGGTCGTGAGCGTGGATAACCTCATATTCGGCAGTGCGGTATTTGGAATTCGCCATCCAGTGCGCAAGGCCATCGACTGTGACCAGGATTGGTGGGCGGGAAGCGAAAGGCTTTAGGCCCTCAGCATCGGCAGTGGCTTTGGTTGCGGTTAATTCGGACCACAGAGCTTGGAATACCGACCAGGCGTGGGCAGTATCATCTATTCCCAGCTTGGCTAATTGTTCAAGGTTCATCTCGGGGCGAAATGGCGCCTTCAAATTCGGGTGGTCTTGTGAAATATGAAGTTTGGCAAGCACAGGCCCATTGGCAGTAACCATGCGCTGCAGCAGTGCAGCCACTGCATCCTTCTGCACATATTGTCCTGGTTCTGTGGTGGAGGGAGCGTAGGCAGTATGTGCGATCGTGAGGTCCTGGGCTATTAAAACGAAAAGAAAGCGGCATAACGGTTAGTAAAATGGGCGCATTAGTAGAAAAGATAATTCATCGAAGTCTTACCTTCAGGAATAGTGACAGTGACCCAGTTGTTCAACATAGCCAAGGTCATGGCTTGCGTCAAATGGACACTCTTCCCGGTCCCCTTGTCGCCAGTAATGATTCTCTTTACAGTTTTCCCTTTCATTTCGCTCTCGCCGTTCCCAATGCCACCGATTAACCTCCCCAGCTCGAGCGTCTCCTCTCTAACGAGAGTACCAGGTCTTCTAAACAGGCTCCAGCCCTGGGTGGTCTTGAAGGCGCGAGCGCCTCTCAATCGGTCCACTAGCGCCATAGGTAGTCCAACAATACGGCCGCGCAATTCGGCATTCGTCATATTCTCAATAGATAGCTCTTGCATATCTGGGACCTCGAGGGCGTTGGTGTTGCTTAGCACGATGCGTTGTCTCGCTGCTCTGCGTTCACCCACGGCCGGCGGGCGAGGCTTCTCACGCTTCGTTTTTTTGTTAATTCGAGCGGACCGGGATTCACGGAACTTGGGGCCTTCTGAGCGACCTGAACCTGGCTTCTTTTTCATGGGCAATGCAAGCGCGGGAGCAGTGGTGTGGAAGGGAGCGATTCGGAGGACGGAGGGCGGCTGCAACAGACGGGGAGCTGATAGGCGAAGCTTCGAAAAGCAGCCCCAGCAAAAGGAGGAGGAGGCCATTGTGGTACGAAGCTACTTCGTCGTGGTCAATGGCCTACCAAAGCGATTGTTGGATGGATTGCCGCAGCGTGTGTATAGCCGTGATGTGATGCTGCTGAAGTTTGGGGGTGAAAAAGAGGCTCTTGGCCGGAAAAGATTCTAGAGAACCAAAAGCGGAAATGCCTGTCGCTGGTTTTGAGTGGAACATTTGGTGACTAAAAGCAGCAAGACAACTTCAGCTTAGTCATGGCTGGATCTGACTTCATTTTTATTTTTCATTGGGATCAGGTAAAATAAATTTATAAACTGAAGCGTTTGATCAATTTGATCAACGAATTACAAACACATTTTCAACAATCCTGGCAATCGCAGACATGGGTGAATCTACTTCAGCTTCCACCGCTGCTTCAACAGCTCAAGCAAAACCAAAACCAGAAAGACTGTATGTTCACCCTTAAAACTCCAATGTTGCGCATGCTCGTATCCCTCCAACCTTCACCTAAGCTCCAAGTTCAGAACGAAGCAAAGAAAGAAAGCATTTTACCAAATTCCCCTCCCTCCCCTTCTCTCTTCTCATCTACTTTGACCGCGCAGTTCAATCTCCAAGTTAACGAATATACTAATACTCCATCCAGCCCCATAACTGTCGAAAAACCCACCCCCTACACCTTCGACTTAGGCCACCTCCTCGCCCTAGACCCAAACCCCCTTACCCTCCCAAACAACACATCTCTAAACGCCGCCCTAGCCAGCACAGCGCGTGACGGTGCCCAATCCCTCCTCAACCAACTCCTAACAACCTGCCCTATAACCGCCACACCGCGCGACGGCATCCTCCTCTCCCTGCCCCCGCGAAACACCCTCCTCCCCCGCTTCAAACCACTCCCGGCCCCCAAGCAGCCGACGAAATGGGAGCTCTTCGCGCGCAAGAAGGGGATCGGCAAATATAACAAGAAGCTCGGTTCGGGCGGCGGGAGTGCGGAGGCGGAGCGTAGGAAGAAGTTAGTCTACGACGAGGCGAGCGGCGAGTGGGTGCCGCGGTGGGGGTATAAGGGGAAGAACAAGAGCGGGGAGAACGACTGGCTTGTGGAGGTTGATGAGAAGATGTGGAAGAAGGAGGAAGGGTTGAGTAGCGAGGGGAAGGGGATTAGAGGGCAGGGGAGGCGGGAGAGGGTTGAGCGGATACGGAGGAATGAGAGGCGGATGAGAGCTAATGAGCGAAGAGCGGGGCGTACGCAGGGGTGATAGATCCGAATCCAGTGTGTGCGGTGACGGGCCATGCTGTTGTGGCATTCCATTTGTTTATTGGCGAATTGAAGGAATAAATAAAATGGAATGGGGCGGGGCGGAGCGGGGTTGGCTGGGAACTCTGATGTCTTTTATTTTTTTATTTTTTTTAATTTTTTAAAAGGTCGCTTGGCGTTTTTGTTTGGTTTTATGCCGGGTGTCTCTCTGTATACATATCTCTCTACCATGTTTCTTCTTTTCTCTCATCGCCGTGTGCATTTGAGGGCAAATCATTATATGCTCCTCGGTGAACTAAATATATACAGGGAGCTAAGATATCGTCGTCCGAACGTCCTAGTGAATTTTTTTGTAAAGGGGAAGCTTTGCTAGACGGAGTTGTCCGTCTGAACTGAGCAGAATAAAGTATACTCTATTGAAAGGAGCTTACCAGAACCTAATTACATAGATAGCTATTTAACTTCATGGATGCCAATTTCCCCTTTTACTTTCAGTTCAGCAAATGTTAACATAAATCAGAATGCATGCCTAACAACAAGATATTTATACAGTTACATCTGCAAACCCAAGTAAAACATTTCATAAACACCGGTGCCAAAGTTGATGAGCTAAGGCAAATATATAGAGTGAGAAATGAATAAGAAAAAGCCATCAGGTAGGAAAAAGTAAGGAAGGGAAAAGAGAAGAATGAAATATAAAAGGCTTAAACAGAAGGGGGAATGGGATTAAAAAAAGGAATGGAAAAAGGGAGGGAAAAAATGCTACATGATGACGTGTAATGTAATGCCAAAGCCAGGACCTGTAAAAAGGGAGTCAAGAAGGGCCAGAACGGGCGAACCGGTTCAAAAGAAGGGCAGGGCAGCCAGGGAACACTCAGAAAGCCGACAAAGAAACCTATATGTAGGCGTAGAAAGCAAGGGCAGTAGAATCGAATGAGAGACGGCAATGAAGGATGATTCGCACAAGGCCGACAGACTGAAAATCGACAAACTAAAAGTATCAGGGGAATAAAAAACCTCACTTTAAGCGCCAGAGCATGCTTCAGGAGAGCCCGGAGAACAACAAAGGAACAGACAGAAAGAAGCAAAACAAGATTAGAATGCAAACTGTAAGTGCAACTCCCAAGAATAGAATAAAAGATAGCTCTGAGATGTTGCTTGCAAGTTGGAAACCAAGATAGAAAAATAGAAGAAAAGAAAAAGAGAATCACAACCAAACAAACTCGCTCAGAGTGAGTGCATTACAGCGAGGTAGAATTAAAAAATAAAATAAAATAAAATAAAATAAAAACTCCTGTGCAAAGACTAGCAGAAATTTTGAATGTAGATGTAAAAATGCATTTGTATGATGATTTTACACACAGCATTCTGAAGAAACTGCAACATCATGCCTCCTCTTGAGTATTGTGTTTGAGGAAAGGTATGGGTGCAGTTGGTGATAGAAAATGTGACATTCCCACAAGGCCTTCAATTCAACTCCATTTCTTCTTCTAGAAATCCAGTTGGCTTCTGTCCTGGGGATTCAATATTCCAGGGAGTGATTCTCGTCCAAAAACAACAACTATCCATCTCATTTGATCAAAAACAGATTCGCATTTTCATACGTCCGGTTTGCTCTAATATACTACTTTATCTCTATATCCCTTTAGAAAGAAGTGGCTCTAAATCTTCATAGGCGACAGTGGTGGCCCAAGCTCAGGTAGCTGAGATGCAGAACGTGAATGCGAGCTGTTAATACTTGGTGGTGCTTGTTTTCGTCCGCGTCTCGGGCTCGTTGAGCGGTTGGATGTCTGCGTCCTGCTGCCAATGGGGGCCGCGTTGGTATTGTTGTTGTTGTTGTTGTTGTTGTTGTTGTTCGTGTTGCTGGTGCTGGTGCTGGTGCTGGTGCTGGTGCTGGTGCTGTTGTTATTGCTGTTGGCTGTGGTGGTTGTAGTGGTTGTATTTGGAGCCTGGCTACTGCTACCTGACGACGAAACGGCTCTGTCATCAACAACCGTCTCCTTTGCGTTCGTACCCTCCTGGGCTTCAGTAAGAGCCTTCCTTTCCACCTCGAGTTCGATTGCCAGATACTCCTTCTCCGTCCAGCAGCCCTGCCAGCAATTCTTCCAGTCGCAGACGAGGAACTGGAAACAGAAGCCGTCGATTTTCATACATGGCTGGAAGCAGATGCAGAGGTTGCGATAGTCCATTTTGTTCTTGTCGACGTAGGAGTGCAGGAGGCTTAGGTGGCAGGTTATGGCGAAGAGGAGGTAGTAGTTGAAGGGAGGAAGTTTGGATAACTCGTCCTTGAGCATTTGCGGGGCGGTTGTAGCACCCGCGCACTTTTCTGCGATCATAGCCTGCGTTGCTTTGGGAAAGATTTCATCAGGTAGCTCGCGGAGCCATGCCTTGAACATCGATCCAATCGTGTTGATATCGTATAGGTCCGGTTCGTCAAATAGATTAATGTCGTATTCTTCAAAGTAAAAACGAAACCAGTTAGTACAAAATGATCAGATGCCTTAGAATAAAGGAAGCAAAACATACCTGTATCAAACCTCCTCTGCCAATGCTTAACATCCTTTCCACTTCCTGGGACTCGATAAAGGCCCTCCTCCTCACACCCCTTAAAATTTAAATAACTGGCAAACTATGTTAGTGAAGGACATCGACCAAAGGGCTATCTGACGAAGAAAAGTAACATACTCGATACATCTCCACGGCAGAGCCGGCATCCAATACTCAGTTTTATCTTTCGATGCTTCTAACCGTTTCGAAATCCGCGTCCGCCGAGTTTGCTCCACCAGCGGAAGATTAATGACTCGGCAGGTATACGTGTCATCTACAGGGAACTCCCGTTCATTGCTACTCCCACTCCTAGTGATTTTACCGAAAAATCCCTTCCCGGCTTTGCCCAGACGGTCAGCCGCGCCGCTGGATGTTTGCTTTAGATTGTTGAATAGCGACGCGCCGGAGACCTGGCTCAGCGACGAAGAGGATGTCAGTGAGCCTCCGTGTCCTAGATGTCGCTGGGATTTGGAAGGGGAGTGATCAGCTGCTGGGCGGTCGGCTGATCGGTTTCTGACGGAGGAACCCATCACCTCCTTGAACATTTTGTCTGGTTGTAATGGGGCGGTTTTCAATGGCGGTTGGGTATTATTGCTGCTTCTGCTGATTTCCTCTAGACGTAGTAAACCGTAAGATGGTCGTCGCGAAGGTGGATGGTTTTTACCAGTGGCATAGGAATCGTCCATTCTAATGGATCGTGACCGAGTTAGAATGTTGGCGAAACGAGGTTTGCTTTTTTTGAACGCTAAATTGTAATCAGTTACGCTTTCCTTGCGTAGAGATTGATCGTCATTCCGGTTGCCTAAAATATACCTCATAGTCAGCTTTCATGCACTTTTTCGCCTCTTTATCACTTTGCTTTTGCACATAAAGCAGCAAAGAAAGAAAAAGAGAGGGGGAGAAACAAAGAAAGGCGGAATATTTCCCCACCATTTGTTCTTTCAGCACGACCGGAGGAAGTTGGTGGATCCACAGAGGAACCATTCCGTCCCCGACTAGATATATTCACTGCCCTATCCTTCGAACTACCTCGACTTGGTGGGGGTTTGCCATCAGCCGTCTGTTTATCGGGACCATCCGACGATTGAAGCCTGTGGCTTGACTTGGATGCCTTGAGGTTGGAGAAGAACGAACGCGACGGGTCTCGTCCATGCTTAGTGGATTCTTTGGGAGAAGGTGGATATTGCGGGATTGCGGTTATACCTGGCGTTTGTGGCACTTCATTGTTCT